TGACTGATGGAAATTTGTAAAATTTTATGTACTTGTCCAATTCGGCTTACTGCGTTTCCAGTTAGAAATAAACTGAACAGGTTTGGTTAGACATCATTGTCACGATACAGACGTAATTACTTGGTATGTTTTAAAAGGAAAGGCTGCAGTTATTGGTATTCTGTTTTTTTTGTTGGTTTTTTTCGGTAAAATTAACGCTCTTAGCCATCATATCACTATCTACCAGATTCTGATCTGTTACAGTCTGTTAACTGAACGGTAATACTTCCAAATTTGGAATACGTTGAACTACCTAATCGTGTTGTATATGGCATACGAAAATAGAAATTGTTTAAAATACCTGTTGTATTTCGTATCCCTATTATCTTTCACTACTGTCTCTTAAAACTTGTAAATTGTCTTATATATGTCATAAGTAGATTCTGTTTATGCTATATTCTTAATGTTTATTTGTTTACAATTAGAAAATCGATTATACAGATCATTTTCCTAAGAAAAGCACCTCTATTGTAATCGGTTTTTCTATTCTCAAGTTTCTTATGTTTATCTATATATGTATACTTTATTTCCATTATAATTTGACCTTGGTAACTATTAGATACTACGTTTAAACAATTATTACTGCAATGTTAATTAGAATACAATTTCGATAGTTTTTTTTCTGATCATATTAGGTTTGTTTTTCTCACCTTATTCTGTATTTTATCTTCACTTCATCCTCCGTAGCGGTTTTCATCATTATTATTATTACGTAAAGAAGTGATTTTGAATAAAACCATTCAGCGTTTTGTTTTGTAGAAGTTATGTAATATATTGTGGCTAATATATAACTGTTAAGTAAATAGTATAAGGTAAGTATCCTTATTATTTTACTACAAGGTTATAAGGTATAGTCAATATTTTTAATGTGATATCTTGAAGGACTAGTTTTTAAATTTGAAGATTAAGATTGCTAATTATTGTTAATTTTGAAAGAAATGAGGAAAACTCTCTGAATATGTTTAGACATTTCGTAATATGTTCGGTATATTGTGTATTCCTTTCAAGATGAACTATTTATTCACAGAACAATTTAAACTTAACTATAAGTATTTGCTATTTGATTATTCAGTTTATCAGGCTGGTTATGATTTATAACCAAATTTATATTCATGGATTTCGCTAGTTAAATTACAATATACTACTGTTTTTATTTACACACTTTTGAAGTTTGTTAGTAGGGTGTGTTATGTTGGAAATAATAACTGTTATTGGAATTGTATGCAACATAACAGCTCTATTACTTCCTAAATCGACTATCGTAGAAAAATTTTAATTAAGTTATTATCACAGGACATTCATCTCTTTGATATACCCATATCAAGTTTAAACTTATATACGGATAATTCATTATTAATTGGTACACCATACATATTCGATGCTTCCAGACTTTTGGCAGTTTTAAAAAAAACAAACTTGATACCGGCTCCTGAATTATGATTTTCTCAGAATTACTCAACACATTAAACATTATACTGTTCACTGAGAAAATCGAGTACAAAAGAAATAACCGATCACTAAGTCACTAGATTGTTAGCGTATACAATAATAAATAAAAAAAATTTATCAGTTAGCCATAGCATGGTTACAAATTACACCATAAACAATAATCATAGTAATACTATGATGTTTATGGTAATGAACACTGTGAAGGAAATAATTTACAATTGCGTAATAAGTGTCAATCAGACTATAATTGCATTTGATAAAAGGCATGAAAATGGATAAAGGGATAAAGGTTATTGCAAATGATAAAAAATCCGCCAATTTATATATATATATATATATATATATATATATATCCGTTTATATCTGTCGAATATTTGTTCATATATTTCAGTACATTTATTAAATGGGAAATATACTACTGTTGATTAGGCATTATACTGAATAAAGCATTTCAATACTTATTTGATTCTGAACAGCTTATAGAAGTCAAATAATATTCTGTAAAATATGTCTACTTTTTTTAAAAAAAATCTTCAATCACTGATTAAACTTGTAGTAAAGACATATTGACCAACGATTTTTTTGTTTTCTTCGAGGATAAAGAAATCAATAATTAGAAACGACGTCTCACTCTGATGTCAACTGTAATCTAAATAAACATATTTAGACTTAATCTTTAAGATAAAGTATCTGTCTTCATGATATTTTTCTCTACGTTTCCACCCTTTCCGCTTTCCCAGTTTTCCTGTTTTCTATTTTCACTAAGTTACATTTTATAAGTTCTTCCCAACTATTCAACATACCTAAATCACAGTGAGTTTCAATTTGTCCTATTTCAAAACTAAGAAAATATTTGAGCCTATTACTGAGTTTTAGTTTTTTTTTATTTACATTATAAGCATCTAAAAACAATCATTTATTTCATAACCTGGTAAATTAGCCTTACCAAAACTAATCACCTATACCAATGAGTTCTAATATTACACAACCCCTAATTGAGATTCAATTTAATCCATTTCGAATTTTTCTTAAAATCAGATTCCTATCAACTCACGTTACAATCCATTCCCACTCTGTGTAATATATTCAATGTTAGCGCCTTTGTTAAAGTTGATTGGTAATTAACGTATGAAATGAATTCACAAGTTTTTTTTGAGAAAATTGAAACAATGTGTTATAACTTGTGACTTGTGTGCCCTGTTAATGTATAACGTAACGATGACGCCAATTAGAGAGCAGTGAATTATCGATCGGATCAATGATGCGTAAAACAAGTACGAGCTGTCTAGAGTCCTTATCGGTCCACCTAGCCCAGCCAGTTAAGTCCTGAACACCAATCTCAGCCTCTGCAATATGAATCATGTATTTCAAACATACTGGGTTTATATATCAATCAAACAGACCACATCGTTCCATAAAATATGAAACAACATTTGTACAATATTTGGCCAAATGTGGCTGTGAATGTGGGAGGCAGTGACTAATAGACAGGGTATAATTCAAGAATGGTAAAACGTATAATAACCGTTAATAAGTCAAAATTTAGCTCATGATAAGAGGGTCACGAATATGAATAGTTTAGTTATTCAACAATTATACAATAAAAATGTACGTATAGTGTTGATCCATAAATGGATCACAAAAGTTACCATTCATAATGCTTATCGGGACATAACACAATGTAACTATGTGGTGTGTGCTACTTATGTAGACATAAGTAGTATATTACGCGAGTTAGGAACTGGCAGCAGAAGATGGGGGAAGATGAAGAAAGGAAGAGCGGGAACACAATGGGATTTGGATGAAAACGCATGAACAATGAAATCTGAGACAATGGATTGATGTTTGCAACAGGAACAGTCAAGTTTGCCATGATGGATTGATATTTTGCAAATTAACAATTTAATATATGGTTCTCAGATTTTATCCAAATGCTCTGTAATTTGTTGTTAAATACATTCGATTGTCTCCCACTGGTGTTCTTGTTCACTACAACTATAGAACTATATTTCATTGAATGTCTGTATTTCCTTGTCTTCTGTTGTTGTAGTTTAAGTAAATACTCACTTCAGTCTTAAGTGGAAGAAAATTTGTATGAACATATTTCACTAAAGATTCATTTGTTAGGGTTTTGACTGAATTCTTAAGCATTTTGAAATCTAATATTTATAATTTTAAAACTGTTAATCATCATTAGAACGAATAGTTTGACAGATATTGGGCGCCGAGTATAGAGAAGTCATTATGAATGTAAATTATATTTGAAATAACCTCAGCGATTGAAATTTAAATAATTCCAACGTTTCGTCCACCCTGAAGAAGTTCAGACAAGTTAGCTGGACGAAACGTTGGGATTATTTAAATTTCAATCGCTGAGATTGTTTCAAATATAATTTACATATATAATGTTAATCATCATTGTTATTTTAATTATTTGTTATTTTTAATGGGGTTTATTTATTTAGGATAATGAAGTACATATAAAAATATCAGTCCGGCTTTTCACAGTTATAATCTGTCGCTAAGATGATTGAATTGCATTAAGCAGTTGTCCTCACTTAGTCTGTTATCTAATATGTTTGTATTCAAGCAATAGTATTTGGTTTAGTTTTTAGTTATACTCAACTGTTGTTCATGTGATCATAGATTAAAACTCATTTCAGCACAATCAGTAGTCCTTATCATAGTAAACTTACTTATTTACCTCTGTTACTTCTCGTGGAGGAGCATAGGCTGCCCAATAGCATTCTCTATCCAACCCTGTCCTGGGCAATCCTTTCCAGTTCTTTCCAGTTGCTATTGACCTTTTTCATGTCTGCTTCCAGTTCTCGACCCAGTGTCTTCTTCGGCCTTTCTCTTTCCCGTTTCCCTTCAGGATTCCAATTTAGCGCATGCAGTAATGCAGGTTAGTGATTTCCGTAATATATGTCCTATCCACTTCCAATGTGTTTTCCTAATTTCCTCTTCAGTGGTGAGCCGGTTTATCCTCTCTCACAGTAGTGTGTTACTGTTGGTTTCCGGACAACGGATATTGAATATCTTGTGTAGACAACTGTTTATAAATACTTGTACCTTTTTTGATGATGTATGTAGTAGTTCTCCTCGTTTCAGCTCCGTACAGTAGAACTGTCTTGATGTTTCATATTGGCTGACGGTTGTTCTGAGTTCCATATGCTCTTCAACTGTAGGAATGCGGTCATTGCCTTGCCAATCCTTTCCTTTACGTCTACATTGATTCCTCTTTGTTAATCGATGATGCTGCCCAGGTACAGGAAAGTTTCTAAATCTTTTAGAGATTCTCCGTCATGTGCGATTGGGTTGGTGTTCTCCGTGTTGTATTTGAAGATCTTGCAACTCCCTGAGTGATTGACGTATACTTTCATGCAAATTTTTATTTTCTATAGTTATTCTGTGTACAAACAATATTCATTGTCATACATTTAATAACACTTTTTATTCCTCGTATCTTTAAGAATTTTTTATCTGAAAAATTGTATCTTTCGTTTCCTTAGGTACGTATTGCAACATTAGATTGTGTATCTGTGGTAGCTCATCATCTTGGTACTGATAATTTGGATTGTTTATTAACTGTTGTATCCCAAGCAGATAATTTCCTATTAAAAACTGCTGGAAATTTTTTACAACAATCGTATTTAGAAAAAGATAATCATCAAAATTTAGATTCAAAATATTCAACATTAACAGAAGCTGTAAAAAAGCGATTAATTCAATGTCAATTACCACAGTTGGATAGTCATTCACGTGTGATACGAACAAATAATTATAATAATGTACCTGGTGCGTCGATATTAGTTAATACGTTGGGATTAAGTTCAAAACATAATACAGATTCACACTTAAAACCGCAAATTTCCACTGACGAAGGTTTCACTATCAACACACCTAGAACGGTATCACAATTTTCAAGTTCTACAACTCAATCGGATATATTGTCAAATCCGTCAATAGCTGAAAAAGTGAAATGTAAGTTGGTGTTTCTGTTTTTATCTTTAAATATCTGTTTTACTAAATTCGTTAACATTTTACACTGAGTATTGAACCTTTATGGAAACTGGCTATTCATGAAAATCTTTTATTAACGATTTATGACTTGGACTCTGAAGTCGTTTAGGCCCATTGAGTATGGTGTTATGTCATAATACACTTCGAGTGTTTGGTGATACAGTCCTATCTCTGCGTTACGTAACTATCTGATAACCTGATCTCCATTTATTTTCCATAAACCACTGTACTCTGATCTGGTACCTTTTACAAATTGAACTGGGAAAGGCATCTACAAGTGTCCATCGGGTAAGTATAAAGCCCATAAACTCTGAATTAACAGTGATACCATCAAACATAAGTTACAGTACACCAAACATTACGATATTCCGTACTCTTGTGAACCTGTGAGTTTAAAATGCTTTTTAATAAATAGGACATTTTTGTTGTATCATCTCACTTTAGTTTGGGTAGATAAATCAGTAACCCATTTTGTTTACATGTTTCTGTGATCTCTACTTTGAAGATCTTAAAGTCAAACTTTGGGAATTACTAATTGAAATTAAAAAAATCTCCATCACTCGTCTACGGTGTTAATGGTGATTGGGCGGAATGTGTTGAAATCTAAGAGATTCTAGTTTAGAAATCTAGATTTATATCCCCTAATTTGTTTTTATTTTATATAAACCAATATGTGAAGTAAGATACTTATGCGACAGGATATGAAGATTATATTATAAACTTATATCTGGTGCATATTTATATCTAAAAGTCGGTAAATTTTCAACAGATTTTAGGGGTTATTTAGTCATCATTAGTGGCATGAAATGTCACTATTAATTTAACCTACTTTCTAGCCATATTGGCAATGTCTTTCTGAGATGTTGTGGTATGGTCGTTGTTGATGACGCATTGTAAAATATAATTTGCACCTAACTGGATAATCGATTGATATTGGGTTGCCGAACAGTGATTCCAATATACTGTAATAAGCGTTGACTGACACTACCTGCATTTCATACAGTCATAAAACTTATGAAATATCGGTTCGATTAATTAGTCTTTGTTTAATGTGTCACTAAAATACATAACTAGATGGCTTCCACCTCTTTACGAAATACCTTGGTTGTAAAACGGAATACCTTCAAGTTATTCAATTAAAGTAATTACGCTAGTCTATACAAATTTGGTTTCACTATTAAATCCACATGAAAATGTTAAAATGTTTGGACCTCATTATGTACAATCTCAACACGAGAAGTATATTACGTGCTAACCATTTTACAAAATGTGATATTTGGTAGGCAGTTTTATGCCTATCTTTTCTGTATTTAATTGCATACTCTAGTTAAGTCATTCATGGTCAAAAAAAGAGACTGGCACTAATGTGTATCGGCTTAATTTATCAAATCTTATATCAGCCCAGTAAGCAAGTAAATGAAAAAAAAATGAGAAGCTAAGAAAAGATTTAATCTTATAAAATGCAGTTCATAAGGGACAAATGAATTTTATTAAAAAAAGAATATCACTTAGATGTACACGTTTCATTATTCACTAAGAACCAATAATACGTAAATTCATGAATGATATACTCCACCTACTATCTTGATAATATTATTTATACAAATATGAAGCTGTTACTTGTTATGTAAGTCTTTATTTAAGCAGCATTTATCAAATTAGTGTTTCTCCAATCCTCCTTTTTTTGCATTGATTTCTGTTTTTCTCTCACGTGTTTCAATTTACCTGTTGTTAATATAGGAACTTAGTTTATTTATTCTATTCTCGTCACTGTATTATATTTTCCCTTTCCCTCTTTCTGTTTTTTTTTTTTCTTCTCATTTAATCAACATTTATCTAAAGCTAACTATCGTCGCCGACCTAGTGCTGGTTTAACACACAGACAAAAACAACTCCCATGGGATCCAAGGATCAGTATTGATTTGTCTAGTTCATATCCGAGTAAAAAAACATCACGTTTAATTCGTCGTAATTCTAATTGTAGTTTATTCACTGTCAATAATTCTAATAATTTACCAATTAAAAGCAATCATATTTCTAATCATCTTATAAACAGTATTGAAAATGATATGGTAAGTTAGTAAATAAATGACGATAAATTGTTTTTTTTTAAAAAAATTTTCTTAAAAAATTATCGGCTGATGTTGTATAGAGTTTGTGTGGTGAACAAGAACTCAGATGGGGAAGACCAATTTATTGTTTAATGCAAAATTACTGAGTACTTTGGTAAAATATGAAAACTATATATTGTGTACCTCATTTGTACATCTTCCATCAGTTGTTTCCCATAAACTTCATTGTTCTTTTATTCCAGTTATTGCAATTGTTTTCTGTTTTTATTTTTGTTTTCTTCAATTCGATCTTTTCAATTTTCTGCTGCTAGGCATTCCACTTCTGACTAGTTTTTCATACTACCTATATCTGTTAAAATAAGTAGCATAAGAAAATGTGTTGAGTTTTTCGATGATGCTTGATTGGAACTGAATGAATGTATATGCATGTATTAATTAAACGATATATTAGTTGACTAGAGTTTAACTGAATTAATTTTTTAAAGGAAGTCACATACACATTTAAGATTACTTCAGATATGGAATGGTAAACTGTTAAAAGTCGAGTTGAATAAGTCATTACCGTATTTTGATCATCGTTACATTCTTCTATGTCTAGTAATCTTTATTTTTAATTATCTTCAAGAGTAGTGCGAATAAGAATACAAATGTGCGCTTTTCTCCCTCTAAATGCAAGTTGTTGCTTCAGGACTGGTCTGCATCAACACCTGAACTAAGGATAGGGGGTGAAGTAGTCGAACGCGTTGACAACTTCACTTATCTTGGAAGTCTGATCAGCCCTAATGGGTTGGTGTCTGACGAAATCTCAGAACGGATTCGAAAAGCTCGCTTGGCCTTTGCCAACTTACGTCATCTATGGCGAAGGCGAGATATCCGTCTATCAATTAAGGGACGAGTATACTGCGCGGCAGTTCGTTCCGTCCTTCTATACGGCTGCGAAACATGGCCTTTAAGAGTGGAAGAAATTCGTAAGTTACTAGTATTTGACCACAGATGCCTTAGAAATATTGCTCGCATCTGCTGGGATCACCGCGTAAGTAAAAGTGAGGTTAGACGCAGGGTATTAGGGAATGATGGTAAATCAGTTGATGAGGTTATGAATCTTCATCGACTGAGATGGTTGGGCCACGTGTTGCGTATGCCTGAACACCGATTACCACGACGCGCAATGCTGACTAGTGCAGGGGATAATTGGAAGAAAGTTAGGGGCGGCCAAACCAAAACGTGGCATCAGTGCTTGAAGTCACTAACTTCTGGTCTGAGCCATGTTGGGAGATTCAGACTGCCTGGTTGGGGTCCGCGTGACTATCGTAACCAATGGTTGGAGACTCTTGGTGACATGGCTCAGAATCGATCACAATGGCGTCGGTGTATACACTCTCTGTCTTCCTTAAATTAAGAGATTAAAATCGCTTCATATCTGTCTAGGAACTAATTCTTTCTTCCTTTACTATCTCCTTATACACAATCTTTCTTCTATATATTACCACCACTGAATTAACTACTCCTATGAATCCGGTGTTCATCTTGTTGTGCTAATGCGGTATGGCAACTTGGACCGATGCATATACGTGCCTGGTCCTACGTTGCAGCTGACTGACTGACTGACTGTGTTCTCTTCAGTGTATCTCTAGCTGATACTGATCTGTTACAAAAGCACTGTATACCGCATTAAATTTATTTTGAATATAGTTGGTTTATTTCAGTGAATCGAATCTTTTTACTTCCATTTACTAGTGTGCGGCGATAATAGTATTTTGTTTTTCATGTTTTTTAACTTCGAAAAGCTTTGAATTCATTTCTTATTTTTTTGTAAGATTTGTTGTATATTGCGTCTTAGAGACAGATTATTAAGTGAGATATACTTTTTAGCGACAATTTTTCAATCATCAATGTCTAGATGTTACTATCTTGACAATCAATATATTGACTATTCAATTTGTTATTAATCGTATCAGTGTAAATAAATATGCGATGTATTGTGCGCCTTGTCAATTCAAATTACCACATAGAATAGTCTGTAAATCGTTAGGAATAGTGTGAAACTTAGTATCTCTATATGGTGGTTGTACTGGAATTGTTGGTTAATTTTAGGCTTAATTACAATAATATATTGTTTAATCCATCGTCATGGACAATTCTCTTCGGTGAATACGAAATTTAACCTGATAATAAATGTAGTTTGTCCGTACTGCCCGGTCGTTCCTTGTATTTAGTCCCAACTGCTTGAACGGGGTAAAAAAATGAGGAACCAAATTTTTTAAACCTTATAGATAAATCTAAAAACTCATTGTTGAACATTGAGTATTCAGTCACTAGTATTATTCATTTAGTCTTTTTCTGCAGAATGTTTTAAAAGTAATTAGGCCTTTTAACACAATTTAGTAGTTTTACTACTTGATGTAATGATGCTAGTCACATCCCTGTTGAATTGTAACTTTAAGAAAAAGGTTTCTTACGGGTATTGGATATTTCCAGCTGATTTTTTCCTCTATATATGTAATTTTAAAAAATCTCGGATAGCCGATATCCGTCAGAACGCAACTAATAAACTCCAACTTCTTCTTTGTGATATCATTTGAACGGATCATTTTTCTCTACTTGTGAGATATCTAACTAGGTTCTTTTGTAGCGAATGAGTGTAAAACTATAGAAGTGTGTATTGCCAAGCTGAAGAGCCTTTTCCATACACATTCCTACTTTAGCCGTCTCCCTGTCTACTTAATGAGATGTCAGGGAAATTTACTTTCAAATTCATCTTCATCATTGAAAACGATTCCCTGGTGTACGCTTTTGAGCTGATCTCTGAGCTCTTTATTGATACTCTGACTTACGGTAATGTGTGTGTCATCGATTTAGCGGAAATGTAGCTCAAGATTTTTGAGAAATCTAGTACATGAATGTTTATTGTCCTATTTACTCACTTAAAATAAAGTAACCGAATCAAACTACCAAACTTTTAACCCAATAGTTGAACGTTAATCATTTTAGAGTAAACACCGAACCACTAGTTCATATATTCCCTTATAATTTCCTATAATTTATTTCATTTTCTCATCACTTCAACTGTCTGTCATCTTCAGTTTGATTACTTTCAAAATTTACTCTTCTGATTTATAACTATTTGTCTCAATATTATGTTTTCTCAATTGACTACTATCGAAACACTAGATAAATAATTGTCTTAGTTAAAAAAGAATAGGGAAACCAACTCCTTTCATATATATATATATATATATATATATATATATATATATATATATATATATATATATATATATATATATAATTAGTCTTAGATTTTATAAGTTTTGATCATTAATATTTCACTACATATTATATTACATAGCTTGGACATTTTATGTAGTCATTTGAAAAAAGAATCTTGTTTAGCGACAGTACCATTTCTTATTCAATATGTTTCTCTCTGCCTGTCTAATTTATGAAATATATACATATACATATGCCAGTTTTGCGTGATTTAAATAATGTTAGGCAGGTATTTATTGTCAATCGTTTTTATTTTAGAAAGAAAAGTTTGAGAAAATAAACTTAGGTAATACACTTAACAGAATTATGGTAATAATGAGTCCAGTCAATCATATATAAAGAAAGATCTATTCAGCATATCAAAATAGGTATTTATGGCGATTGTAGTAACTTTAATGATTGAATTTATGAGTCGATCTAAACTGGACTACCACAAAAAAACCCGGAAGTACTGGACAGTCGTTTCGTCTCATCATGGGCCTCCTCAGAATTGCATATCCACGATCCCATATGCCGGACTCGAAACCAGGACCTCCGGTCTCGCGCGCGAACGTTCAAACACTTGATCACTGAGCGGGTATTCGATGGTGTAAATGTCTCATGAATTTAACTACTAAAATTGCTACGATCTCCACAAATCCCCATTCTGATAATAATCATATGCTCACTAGCGACTGGCGTCCAGATGGATTTCCCGGAGTTCTAGTGAGAAGCCATGACCAATGGAGTATAATCTGTGTCGAATGTAAGGAATTTATCCGCCTCACACAAAGGATGAGGGCTTGTACAAGATCATGTATCTATTGAAGTTAGTCATTAACACCGTTGGATGCCATCTCAGTGGTCTAGGGTTTAAACGTTCGCGTACGAGACCGCAGGTCCTGGGTTCGAATCACGGGTATGAGCTTGTGGATACGCACTGCTAAGGAGTCTTATACAAGGATGAAATGGCCGTCCAGTGCTTCCCGGTTTCAGTGGTGGTCTCGCTTATATCTTCTCAAAGATTCAACTATTTATATTCATCATGGTTGAATTTCATAGTATTCTCTTATTAGGTGGTAATATATGCTTATTGTATCATGATATTTTTGTAAATATATTTTTCTATCATCATTCATACAACCGATAATCATTTTACATAACACCCATCATTATTCTGGAATTTTATTTAATAAATCATTTAATAAATTTTGTAGTGATTTTCGTTATCATTTTAATTATTGTTAATTTTTCGTAATAATTGAAAATCAAGCTTATGACTTTGTAGTTATATGAGTTGACTTTTATGCAGAACATTGTAGGTTGGCACCTCGGTTCATTTCGATTTAAAATAGTTAGATAGTATTATCAGCCCTCATTGAACAATATTGTTGTAAGTTGAATAAATAGGGTTAATATTTGGTCAACAAGCTACACTTATTAATTGATTATGTATAATTTACATATATGTTTGTCTTTTATACTTAAGGTTGTATTAAAAAGTTTTTCTTAGATTACAGTTATATGCTTGCTTCTTCTTCACTTTTGTGATAGCATAAATTTTTAAACCATTCATCTTCAAGTCCAAAACCTTATTCATTGTGATAAATTGGAAATAAGTATTGTTGACAAGGATAGTACATTTTCAATCAAAGTCAAATGAGTAACTACACCTGATTAAATTGAAGTTAAAAAATCTCCAAGAAATATTCAGTGTTTTTGAAATTTTTATTTGTGAAAATTTCGTCTTTTCATTAGTATCTGTAACCGTCAACTGTTACTTATGACCATCATAAAGATTTCTTAGATAGATAAATATTTACCTCGTTTTTTTCTTTCTTATTCCTTATTAAGTTATTACGTTTTCTTGGTGTTTATGTTTAATTTCAAAATGGAGCGTGATTGAATTCAAATCATAATTGTTGTTGATTGAATAAAAATTGCTTCCCAATTATTTTATTTTCAAACTGTATGTTAGGCTAGTGATAGAAAAAAGCGGACGTATTCACGGACCAGTTGGAGTTAAGATTATCTTGGTCTCCACTACAGGTCAGAATACTTTACTAAATCAAACCTAGGATTTTAGGCTATAGACGAAATAGTTTATGCAGGATAAAGAAATATAACATAATTCTCATTCACATATATTCTCTAGATATCAATGAGCACAGTGTTCATAAGAATATCGGTGTCAAGTTAATTAAAAACTTAACCTATACTCATACTGATTTCGTTATGTTTTCGGATTATATATCCAACATGTTGTTCACAATCAAAGTTATATATCTACTAGTTATACATCTTTAAACCTACGACATTTCATCCCACAATATGACTCTTTGTTTTCATTCATAACTTCATTAAATCATTGTTTCAGTCAAATGTTAATGTTATTCACTAACTTTTCTATTTTCTATCTCTTAACTTAATGTCTTTTTCTTCATTATATTATGTAAGGATTCCTAATATTTATTTGTTATTTATTTTTAATGGTTATTATCTTATCCCTTTCTTTTGTTAACAATATATTATGGTTGTTTTATATTCATTCTCTTCATATATATGAACATAGATTCTATTTCTGTTCACTTTTGATTTCCTGTATAGACATGAATATATATATATATATATATATATATATATATATATATATATATATATAAAGTGTTATTTCTTTAAAGATTTGCAAAAAGTTTGCTCATTATTGTTGTTAAGGAATAGTGTAGGAGTTGCTGGTATATATCCTCTCATAGGGAAAAATATATAAATCATACTACTGATACTCTTATTACCATTGTTTTTACTATTATTATTATTATTATTATTATTATTATTATTATTATTATTATTATTATTGGTACTACTACTATTACTACCACTGTTATTATTATTACTAGTACTAGTATTACTTTGATTATTTCTACTGTTGAAAATGAAAGAAATCGTTGATGAGATGATAAGTTTTTATTCATGTTTCAAAAGTATAGTTATTGTTATTTTTGGTTTTTATTCTCTTAGTTATTTAAAACAGGAAACAATGAATGTCTGTAAAGAAAAAAGTTTCATGGAATTCAGTCAAGGATACTGTATTGTCTACTAGGAATATAATATGTACTTTTCAAAAGAAAAAAATTATATAACGAACTAATCATATTTTATCTATCCTGGTTTTCTATTTCCATTTCTGTCAAGAAATTATTTTTATTTTTTAAAGAAAAATTTTTTTTTGTTTTTCTTACTAGAACATTTTAATATTTTGAATCATATTAGTATAAGTAGATCTAGTAGTTATTGTAAATAGAACATTCTCATTTGAATATTATATAAAACTATAGAAAGAAAAAAAAAGTAGAATTATAAATAAGGAATAATTTTATTGAGTTCAGGATCTGTGATAGATTAACAAGGTTTATTAGTATTTCTAACGTGAAGTTACTTGCATTTGTTGTAGGTTCTGATGATAATATGCCTTTGTAATTGATGAAGATGTCGTGTCCATTTAAGTTGTCCAATTGCGACATCTCTTATATTAATTGGCTACAAACCTCTGTATCTATATACCATGCTTTTTATATATGTTCTGGTGAATTATGATTCGGTATTAGTGGTGTAATTCAGTTGAAAAATAAGAAGTTATTGAATATATCAGTGGGTGTTACTCTCAACTTTGATTTTAACAACGTTATTTTAAAGGTATCCATAAACTAATTTACTTATTTATTTGATTGAGCATGATGTGAGGATGAGTAGATATGTGTGATAGATTTTCGGGTACAGAATCCCTGGAAATGATTAGTGGTTATATGTGATCCATTATCTAGCAATGTAATGTCTGTTATTCAGTTTCGGGAGAAACCTCCGTCAGTATTTGGAAGGTCTTCGTTGTCAGTGTTACTACAAGAATCTCTGTCTATTTATATAATGTATAAAATAGAAGTATATATATATATATATATATATATATATATATATATATATATATTAAAAAAAATTATATATACAACTGAAAAGTTTAGTTTGTGGAGTAAATTGAAGGTTTAAAAAACAAGCTGAATAGAAGGTGCAACAAGCAAAATCAAGGGAAGATTTATACCGTGGTGCCTACTGTGTATTATAAATTTACATGTAAATGTATGCTATCAAGCATATGACAATATGGGTACGTCGAAGCAGTCTTCACACTTCACATATATCAACTAAGACTGATCAAAACGCAAGCAATTATATCGACTACGGGATAATTCAAATCTTTACAAATTCAATTCAATTCATATCTGATACAGAAGCTAGGGGCTATCTGGATATGGTAGCTCAATGGTTTGCGCGTTCAGCATTTGAAGCGAAATACCATTGGGTTCAAGTCCTGGTGTGAACATGGGCATTAGGGTACAAGTATATCCATTTGACATGCTCTTAATAGGATTGAATAACCATCCTAAATACCACTGTTAACCACAAACATCTATTCTATAAAGGAATGGGAATAGTTTAATTTTACTAACATTTCAACCTTAAAATAAATATTATACTTGATTTTCCTTTTATATTCTGCGTTAAGATGCACATATTTTAATTGTTTTGTTTGTTATCTATAGATTTTGACAAAACATTGTTTTTATCAGAATTTTCTATAAATTTTGTTATACATTTCCATAATCAAGTCTCCATAATCCACTTCAATCTACTTGTTTAATGTCCTGGCTAAAGTTAATACCTGGTGATCCAAATCAAATTTCATTGAATAGTTTTGAAAATTAAGACAACATGATTGAAAGGCAAAGCATTTAGATAGTAACTCTCTGCTCTATTATTATTAGCTTTTTTTTTCTTCACATCTTACTTTATATTGAATAAGAATAATGTACTTTATATTCTGTTTTAATAGATTGCCTCCTTAGGGTAGTTTTTCTTAAAATATTAAAAAAAATGAACGTCTTTCTTTTTGTTTATTCTATTCGAGTTATATGCTTTTGGATACAAAAAGAAGCCGCCAATTTTATTCTGTTCAGATGTTCATATCTCACAATAAAAGAGAACGAAAACTCTCACTTTTTTATTGTATCATATATGTAATTCAATTTACTTTGAAGTTCAGTAATGTGTATAAAAACTTGATGCTAAAACTCTATACTTGCCTATTTAGTTAGTGCTTTTTTAATATTAACTTTCTTGATTATGAATCGAATAGTATAATAATTATTTACGGTAAATCTTAGATCATTTTCCATTACTGTCATGTTTTTCATTCCGTTAATATACTAATATGTTTTTGTTCTATACTAACGAAGAATAAATGGATAGTAACTGTTAGGAATTATTTATGAACTAATATTATTTGCATATTCATATTCTTTTTATTATAAGCTTCCATTTGATCTATTAACTGCTATTATACAATTTACTATTCTTAAGTTACAACCTCTCACACTGTCAGTTACTTTTGCCTTGATTATGTAGTTATTATTTTCTATTTTATGGTATGATGCGGTTTGGTTTGCTTGTATATAAACTGCATGTATGCATGAAATACATGAGTAATATAGCGGAGGCTAATATTGGTGTTCTGAACTGAATCGGTTGGGTTTAGGTGTCAAGTTACTATCTCAGATGTTCAATAAGAGCTCCGAGTTAACTGTAGTCTGCTCGTACTTGTTTATGAGTCATTGGTTTGGCCCAATGCCAAGGTCATATAAGTCGGTGTTTCTAATTGGCAACTTAGTCATGTGATATACTAGTAGGGTATAAAAACATAACAGTCTTCATTTTTTTACAACTAATATTTATTATTATTATTTCAAACCACAGTATATTTGAATTTCCGTAAAGGAAAATCACTTTGTTTTTTAATTAATTCTTTACATAGTTGACCGATAACAATACTGGATATAATCCATTATCTTCCAAAATTTATGCGAATAATAAGTTCAACAATGATAATAGTGATATTGATAACAATGAACATGTTAATGATGATGATAACGACAATGAGGTGGATCATAATCTCGATGCAAAATCAAGTACAATTCATCATACTGCTGTTGTTGCCGTCAGTGCTAAAAATAATCCTCAACACTTGCAACTGTGTGAATCACAACGAAAACTTCAAGATAATTCTAACAAAACTATTTACAACTCTATAAGTCTTAATAATATCAAATCAGAATACATTAATCTATCATCTACGAAACGTTTCAATGCTAAATCACAATTATCAGAATTATGTTCACAAAGTTTACCTGCTTCTGGTCGTATGTCACCTACATCAAAAATTGTAAGTAGTAGTGGTCTTTTTGTTTCTTTTTTCGCGTAGCTATTGAATACTTTTTTTTTAAAAAAAGAAAACATTCAATTATTGATTTGTCGGACGTCCGTTAGCTTAAAGAAATTCATGTCTAATATTTTTGTAAGGTATTTACAAGTGTTTCCTTCTTGAGTTTATACTTAACTGTTGCATACCTTACCACTTACATATTACGGTTAAATAACTAATTTCGTACACAATGATTGACATTTTCTAATTCAAGTAAATTCGTTATATTTATTAACTATTCTTTAATACCACCTGATGCATAGTACACTTTAAAAGATAGATACTATATTCTTGTACGGTTGCAAGGAGACTATCCAGTTGTTGTCCATATTTTACACATCTAAGATCATCATTATAAGAAGTTAATTAACTATGTAACTATTATACGAATATTCGTCAAGATTAGAACGAATAGTTTGACAGATATTGGGCGCCGAGTATAGAGAAGTCATTATATATGTAAATTATATTTGAAACAATCTCAGCGATTGAAATTTAAAATAATTCCAACGTTTCGTCCAGCCAACTTGTCTAGACGAAACGTTGGATTTATTTTAAATTTCAATAGCTGAGATTGTTTCAAATATAATTTACATATATGTAACGATTAATTTCTCATGTATATTCTAAGCTTCGTAAATGGCTTTTCAAAATAACTTTTCCTTATCTGTTTCCATCCTATATAATTTACTTTTCTACTCAACAATATTCGATAGTGCATTTACATACTTGACGAAGTGTATCACATTGTGGATTTACCATTCTAATCACTAATTAGTTTCTCGTTCATCAATGATTCCGTTTGTGACACATGTCGTAAATTATCTCCACGAAGTCCCGATATATAATTCGTATTTCGATAGTTCTCAATACTATGAAAGTACCATTTCATTGAAAAAAATGAACCGATCAATTTTATTACTGCTTCCAAACTTTCCAGCTTTAAATTTGTACTGCAACAGATAATAATATGTAATTTCGCCCGTAACTTTGATAGTCTCTTCCACGTTTTGTTTTAATTACCTTATTCTTTGTATCGTATGTTTCATATAATATGATGTCTACATTGTATTCAATCAGTTTTATCAAAACAGCTATCATACTATCTAATCTTTTGTTTACAGTTATCTTCAGATCTATCTTCTATAGAAATAACCAAGGTCTATCCTCTGCGTTCTTCCCTATGTATGGCTAAGTCTGGATCGAACAGTGAAGAACTAAGCTCTTTCAACACACCGCGTCGTAAACCCCGTTTAGCACCAATTCGTCAGTCAGATCATTCCATACTTTGGGCATCACAAAATCAAAACTCCCATCTAAGTAATTACATTCCTTTTAAAAGATCGAATTGAACTCACCTGAGTTCATTTTTATAATTTATGCTAAACACATGGTTTAATGTGTAACCCATAACTAAATGGTCATAATCTGCTGATTCAGAAATATAATTTGATCATCAAATTTAGTCTGTTTTACACCTACTGAATGATGTGAACTTTTATTTGTTTGTATTTACCCACGAGATATGTATCTGAAACCTTGATAAATTCTATTTAGTTTAAAAATAATAAGACCAGAAAAGAAAACTATTCAAACCATACATGTGTTTTTATACCATTTCATTTCGTAATCTTTTTTTTCACAGTTGAAATCACCAGTTGATCTAAGCTAAAACGCCATTGAAAACCTGGAAGCATTTGACGGCCGTTTCATCCTATTATGAGACTCCTCATTACTGTGCATATTACCCTATTAATTCTAACAGAATTAACAGTTTCATTTTGTTTAGGTTCTTATCAGTTGCTTATAATATTTTAAAATCAAACTTATCACAGAAATTAATAGTAGAAATGAATATGTATATTGTGACATAGCGAAGATCCTAGCAAAGTTACTAAAGTCTTAAAAAGCTTTTTCTCCAGATAAATAAAGTGTTGGCTGGAAAGTTCCAGAACATTGTTACACTGATTAAAAATCATGGAGTTAACAAGCTTTAAATAATTGAGTAATGAAGTAACTAAAAACTGATTTATAGTAATCAAGAATAATATGAGTTGAAATCAGTTCGTTGGAACTATGAATTCAAGTGAAAATAAAATGATGTAATCACGAGTTGTTAATAATTTGAAATAATGATTCAGTAAAATAGATAAAATATTACCTGGGCAAAGAAAGGTTTATTACTGCTTCTTTTTGAACAAATAAATCTGCTTTCATATGTTTGATCACCGTAGGTTCAGAAAATTTCAGATTAGCGTTTGATTGTATATTAGGCAAATCGAAAGATTTCAATGTGTCAAATTGATGTCCTGTACCAAAGAGATATCTTGAGATAGCACTACTAAGTCTCTTTACTTCGCCTGATCTCAGACTATTTTGAATATTTTCTCTGGATCCGACGTATGCTCTTCTTTTTATCCTACTAATGTAACTTCTTTGGCAGATAGATATATCTATTCTTGATAAATTTATATCTAGTCATTCAGTAATATTTATCATCAATATACGTTGCAGTAATTTAATCATTACGCATTCAACGACTGTGATCCTACCTGGATGACATTTTAATATGCTTCCTGTTAGTGACTACTTTGTTGGGGTCCACGTGACTATCGCAACCAACGGTTGGACACTCTGGGCGAGATGGCTTAGAATCAATCACAATGGTGTAGGTGTATACGTTCTCTATCTTCCCTTAAACTATGGGATTAAAATCGCTTCATATCCTTCTTTCTACGAACTAATTCTTTTTTTATATACTATATCCTTACATAAAATCTTTTATATATTAAACCATTGAATAACTGCTTCTCTGAATTTGGTGTAAGTCTTGCTGCGCTAATGAGATATGGCAACTTGCCTGGTCCTACGTTGCAACTGACTGAGTGATGCAATTAATCTATGGTTGATAATCACTCTAATAAATGGTGTATTTGGCGTAGAATGCCCAATTATTTCCTTGATACTTAATTTGTAAAGCTTGTGCTTTGTTGAATAATGTGAAGTTTGTTGTAATCTTCACAAAATTCATGACTAATATATACAACTTTTCTTTATCTAAACTGATGATTCTTTTTAAACCTATTGATGGGTTATTTAATTGTGACATCAAATCGCTTCGGGTTAATTAATTTAGATAAATTTAATCAAAACTACATCCTTCTAGTTCTAACTTACATCGTGTCATTTTAATGTTCAAATATATGGAACAGTAGATTAATGGTTAAGGTTCTTGACGTTCGGTCACTTAGTTTTATGTTTAAACCCCGCTTCATCTACTACAGTTTAAGCCAGTGAATAGTATAATTAACCCTTGAAATTAATGTTTCTCATATCTGAGTACGTTATGAATGATTTAAGCTTAATTTAAATTAAAATTATTTATGATTTCGAATAACAGCTATAAATGGAGTAAACACAATTAAATAATTATGTTCCAGAATTATAGATGAAAAGAAATGATAATCACCTTTGTTTTCCTATGACTTTTCTTACATAAACTTGGTGTATTCATGAGACTTTCGATTATTATCCAATCTTCCATCCCATATATATGCTGGCTGACGGTTATCTTGTATATTGTTATGTTGGATTTCTTATTTCATAAATAATCCACCGCATCTAAACCAACTCGATCGACATTTTTTAACTATTGAAGTATTATGAATGAAACAATTCTAATCTGTATCAAAGATATTCATAATTTGGTTTGTTTCAACGTATTACAAATTATGCAGGTTGTTTACTTTTGCTTACTATTGTATTATAGGGAACACTTTATTACTGAATGTTTAATTATGAATTTGTGCATTTTCCTTCCTATTCTTTTTCTTTATTCCATTATACTTGTTTATCTTATCTCTTTTTTGTTTATTTTTAACAGATTCTATGTATCATTCTTCATTGTTACCAACTCGAGCTACTCTAGTTCGTCAAAGTAATAGATCACGTCCAGCTCTTAATCAAGTTTTTAATAACATTAATACAAATACAGAAAATTATCTAGAATGTAATCGTTTTGGATATAATATAATTACACCGAATAATTCTTTAAATACTTATCATTCTACTTCATGTATAACACCTAGAGAAAATGTAAATAAAAATAATCGAAATATTCAATCGGATAGAATAGTTAAATCATCAGTTGATAACTTGTATTATAATCATATTAATACAATTAGTACAACTAGTAGATCTAATCATACTGAGTATGATTCATTTTATTATAATCACAATGATGATAATAACACAGTTGAAGAAGAAATTTACGACGAAGATTATGAGTCCGATGAAGAATTCACAGATGGTGATGATGTAGATGGACGAAGTAATGATACTAGTAGTAGTACAATAAATAATACAACATTTTGGCGTTCAAGTCGATCAACAAAACCTAATTCATTACCTGCCAGTGCATTACCATTAAATCTGCATAATAATGATTCAGCTTTACCAAATTCACCAAGTTCTGAAATTCCTGAAGTACGTTTTATACTACAGTGTTTATTACAATTATCATTATCATTGTCAAACAAAATAATATTTTATTAATTTGATGGCCAAAAGCTTGGAATATTTTCCTCTTTGAGTTTTTCTAAGTACTTCACTCTTATCGCGCAATTATTTTGACTCATAAAACTATGTGTTTTATTACAGCATTCTGATCTTTGTTGATTTGATGTAGTATTTTTCTCGACTTACCCAATCTGTCCTAAGACTGACTCTAAATACATTTAGTATTTATCACTGTCAGCTAACTCAATTATGATGTTGTTATACCACACTAGGTTATCCTGCAATAAAAATAATGTTTATTTCTCTTTTTTTGGTGGAGTTTCGTTCTCTGAGCTTAAAATCAACGTTATAGCTATCATAACTTAACGTTTCAACAATAAGACGTTCAAACAATAGGACGGAACGGCCGTCCAGTGCTTCCAGGTTTTCCATGGTGGTCTAGCTTCAATTGACATATGATCTCAATTATTGCAATTAATATTGTCCCATTTTGTTTCTGTATCTCAAAAACACCCCTACTTCTTTATTTTACCACTTCCATATTTCAACTCTTAAAAACAATGTATACACTATTACATTTATAGCTTAGATTCTGTAATAAATTTATTGAACACAACTTCGATTATATTAAATGCAATTGATATTGGTATCGAATACGCTACTTGACTGAGCAATTCATTAAGACGTACGCGGCTCTCTTAATTAAGCGAAATGATATACGTCATCATCATGGGTATTCTTCATTACTGAAATTTGATTATATTATTGTATTATCTGTCACAAAAGATTTTTAAACGATATGATTAATTTATCGTTAAACTATTCGAATTTCAATTACTATACTTCGGATTCGAACCTGACTTAATTTATGTAACCGGTTATCAAGTTAGTTACTTTATCAAAGTTATGAAACACCACTTAATCTATGTAGAAAAAAAAGCTGCGAATGCGGATAACGAAACGATAATAAAATCATATGTATATACATATATTTTCTACTTAGGAAATTCTAAGTGAAATTGTAGGCGTTTTACTATTTCATTTCTACTATTATTTTCATTGTACAAACTATAAATACCCTTTGATAAACGCATGTATCTAAGTTTGTTGGTGTATGTCTGTGTATATATGAAAAAAAGTATACGTTTTTCTTGTTACTAACTGTTCATTGTCTTCGGTGGGTGTGGTTATTTATTATTTATTTATTATGCATGGTATGTACGTGTATGGTCAATTATGGTTCGTTGAATTTAATTTAATAAATTACGTATCTGATACTCTATTCATGATGTAAATAATTATTTATGTGTATTCCAGTATATAAATGTATATAAGAGCATTCGATGTCTCTCCCCTCTTTTTCCTCTTCATAATTTATCTTATTCTTAATTTCTTTTGAAATTAACTTTCTTTTAATTATTGACAATTTTTTGTTGCTTTTCGTCAGATATACATTAGGATGTCTCACAAAATAATGTATGCTCTTGTTCTCTCCCTTCCCCCTTTCTCTCTGCTTGTGTATGTGTCTATGTTCTAAGTGTAAGAATAATAATCATTCATACGTTGTGTGTATTACGGTAAAAATATCCGCTTCAGTAAATAAAATTTGTGCATTGATTACATTCATTATTGAATTATATAATAATAGTAGTGATAGAAATGCCATTGAACGACTATATTCCCTGATTACAAAAATGCCATTTAAAATCCTGATAAATAATTTGGGCACCCGGGCAGTATCCCAGCTCTCACATAAATCGAATGATTTATGTGGTGCATATCTATTTAATGCCTCCTTTTACCAATGTTTATGTATCAAATAAAATAAAATAAATAACCTCTAGATCACTATGAAATCTATTGATATTTTAAATTTCAGATCATAGAATGATGTGATCCTATTTCTACGAATATACAACTTAACATTAAACGGTTTTATTGAAAAGAAAATTTTCTTTTCTGAATTTACTATACTTTTTTATTTATTCTATGATATAACTGACAGATAATGCCCATTTAAACACTAAAATATCAAAAAAACACGAAGTTCAGCGAAGGAATCTCTTTTCAACCTCTAACTGTTATAACAAAAACATTTTAATTGAGATCATGAACCGATTGATGTTAGACCACCATTGAAAACCTGGAAGCACTGGACGGCCGTTCCGTCCTATTGTGGGGCTCTTCAGCACTATTCATCCACGATCCCGCCTCATGGGATTCGAATCCAGGGCCTTAAGTCTCGCAAGCGAACGCTCAACCCATAATACAACGAAACGGCCGTCCAGTGATTCTAAGTTTTCAATGGTGGTCTAACATCAGTCAGTTCATGATCTTAATCAAAAATTTGATAGTCTCCACAACCCCCTATACTGAGAAAAACATTGAAATCATCTTATTACATTCACTAAATCTAATGTTATTATTCGTATTACGTAATCTAGTATTATCATCTTTCTATTACATCATCTTGCTTATTCGTGTTCACATTTCCTAACGGAGTTAGTACTTTAACATAAGAAAGTTTTTTTTCCTATACATACGATTGCACAACTTGATAGTAAATTTGTTGAAAAGAGGTCCTTTCGCTGAACGTCTTATTTTAAAATTAACTTTTATCATGAACTGAGACCTTTTAAAAAATTATTCCAATGATATTGTTAGCTCCCGATAAGCATAATGAATGCTAACTTTGGGATGCATTTATGGACAAATACTAAACCTATATTTTTATCGTATAATTGTAAAATAACTAAACTATTCATATTCATGACCCTCTTATCATGAGCTAAATTTTGACTTATTAACGGTTATTATACGTTTTACCATTCTTGAATTACACCCTGTCTATTAGTCACTGCCTCCTACATTCACAGCCACATTTGGCCAAATATTGTACAAATGTTGTTTCATATTTTATGGAACGATGTGGTCTGTTTGATTGATATATAAACCCAGTATGTTTGAAATACATGATTCATATTGCAGAGGCTGAGATTGGTGTTCAGGACTTAACTGGCTGGGCTAGGTGGACCGATAAGGACTCTAGACAGCTCGTACTTGTTTTACGCATCATTGATCCGATCGATAATTCACTGCTCTCTAATTGGCGTCATCGTTACGTTATACATTAACAGGGCACTCAGGCAACAAGTTATAACATATATATAGATGAATGAAATATTGTACTCATTGTATGATTTAAAGATTTTCATTTCCTCGATCTTATGGATGAACGAACACTTTTGAAAAGGTCAAAAATCAAAATTCCAATGATAACATCTATTAAATGTTCCATGATTTTTATTGAAACTCTTCCAGCTAATAACACTGCATACTGAAAATTAATTCTTCCATAAATCAATACAACGAAGTTTTGTTAGAAATAAAGTCTTTTTTATAGTACAAAATGTAGTCTAGAATTTGTTAGTCAAAAGGCAGTAGATCAAAAACTTTAAGAGATGTAGTCCGAAGGGGATGAGGAAAAATAAACGAACGAAGAGTATGGAAAATAATAATAAGAAACAAAATCATTTATTAAAGCTAATTCGATCAAGGAAGAGATAAAGGTGTTAAAAATTTCTTATGAATACAAAGAATTGGATTGCTAACTTGAAGTCTTATAGCCACGGTCACTTATAAGAGACGAAAATTAGTATTGTTAAGGTTGCTAGATCCTCAGAGCTCTTTTGGTAAACTTCTTATTCTTGTAATTTTATTCTGAAAATTGAAATTTCTCATTTTTTCTCCAAAAGCTTATATATTACCTTCAGATTGTATATCCTTTTTTTGAATAGACCTTAAATGTGATTGTTTCATTTTCTTTTTTAGTACGCTATTTTGTAACACTTTCCAGGGACATTTCTATACTGTTTATATGCGGTTAAGTTGTGTGTTTGTTGCTGTTTCTGGAATATACTTTTCCCTCTACTGAATCTGGTCTTTTTGCTCTAGTGGGCAGGTCTTTGTTGCTTTGGATTAGTTTTACTTGTCCTGTTGTTGTGTTGCTGACTACGTTCTGTCCGCCGGTTTAGGTGGTATTGTAATCTCTTTAAACGTAGCGAATAGGAATACGATAAACCACTTTAAATGACTTATTTCTATCTACTACATTACCACTGTCAATCAAGGGTGATAGAACAGAGCTGTGTATTGTGTTCATTAACTCGTTGGCTCAGTTGTCTGGTTATGTGCCCAATATAGCATTCTCCATACAAGCAGCTGAATTCGTGCATTCATATGGACGTGGCAAAACCAGGTAACTTATTCTTATGTTGTTCTAATTCACAATACGTGAATTTCTAAAAAGAATTTTTCGGCAGGAGGATTTCCAGTTTACCTACGATATTTGCGAATTAATGAACAATTGAGCTATTCTAATACAAACGGTTCTCTTGTGAACTTTATAATGACAGCTGTCACAATGCAGAAATATGATAAAGTATAGGGAAAACTTGATATTCAAGCATAATATTTTCAATTAGTACAACTCATATAGGAATAAAAGCGTGCCATTTTTAGATACACTTAAAATTACAAGAAGATATAAAAGCAAAGGCCATGCGAAAAAATTGAAAAAAGCATTAATTGTTATGGTTACTGGTAATACTTTAGGATTGTTAACAAAAACTGAATAACCTCGTGAACGTCTTAACGGTAATTTATTTGAAAATCACTTCGGCATCTAACTACTAATTAATCCCAGTTTATTTAGTGAAGATTCCTTGTAAGATCGAAGATTGTTCTTATCATATGAACTAATGTTTATCATTGAAAGTTAATACATCAATCTGTTTTAATTCATCTATTGTCTTATGATAGGAAAAATCATTTTCATCATATCCTTTATCTAGTTCATAAATCTTAATACCTTTTGAAGTTTATTTATTACTTATTCGAAATTCTTTGGATTTTCATTAGAAAATCTGTTTCCTATTTTCCATTTGTATACATTGAACTTTCTCATAATTCTTCTTTAAAAACAGGATTTCTTTCTTCTTTTTAGGTATCAAGTATACGTAGTGCTGCATCTCATAGACGTGCAATGCGATTATTTGAAGAAGCTGAAAAACGTAGACAAAGTGAAAGTTATAATAATCTACAAATATTGTCTACTTCATCAACACCTCTATCATCGATAAGAATTACAAAAATGCATAATACAGACCTATCAAATAACACAAATAGATTGAATTCTGATATTAATTTTGTAAATTCAACTTTATCCGGTCCTGTGTTAACACCAGCTGTTGTTCCCGTAATGTCATCACAACGTTTCATTCCTGGAAAAAGTTCAGCTAAAAAGTACGTCTTTTACTTTGTATTGTGAAATTTTATGACGAATATGTCGTTTCAATCTTGAATATATATATATATATATATATATATATATATATATATATATATATATATATATATATATATATTCGCTACTGTTATGTGACTTGTCAGTCATAATTTATTCCTTGATCTTGTTTAACTATTATATTTCATTTTATGATGTGATGAAGTCTGGTCTTACTTACTTACGCCTGTAACTCCCAATGTAGCATAGGTCGCCGACCAGCATTCTTTAACACACTCAGTACTGAGCCTTCTTTCCTAGTTCTATCCAATTTTTGTTCATAGTTCTCATGTCTATCGTCATTTTCCTGCGTAATGTGTTCTTTGGTCCTCCTCTCCTCTTTTGGCCTTGAGGAATACAAGTGAGTGCTTGTCTTGTGATACAGTTGGGTGCTTTCCTTAATGTGTGTCCTATCCACTTTCAGTTCTTCTTTCTAATTTCTTCCTCCGTTGGAATCTGGTTTGTTCTCACCCATAGTAGGTTGTTGCTGATACTGTCTGTCCAACAGATCCAAAGTATTTTGCGTAGACAATTGTTAATAAACACTTATATCTTCTGGATGATGGCTTTTATTTTTCCAGGTTTCCGCACCATACAGTAGAACTGTCTTGACATTTGTATTGATAATCCTAACCTTGGTGTTGGTTGCCAATTGTTTTGAGTTTCGGATGTTCTTCGGTTGTAAATATGCTGCTCTTGCTTTTCCAATCCGTGCCTTCACATGTGCATCGAAGTCTAGTCTGCTTGTAAATAAGTCACATATATCTGAAATTTATTATTATTGTTATTATTATTATTATTATCATTATTATTATAAATGGCTTTATTCAATATTATATTTTTGGTACAGTATAGAATTTTCAGCACAAAGTATTTCAACAAGTTTTCCTTCCTTATTTTTTGAATGATCTTTACGCTAAATATTGAGCTAGATTTTAGCAGTTCACGAATCAATATCTGATTGATGTTCATTCTTTTCAATACATATTTCCAGCCACCACGATGTCTCTGATTGTACTCTTTTGCAACTTGTACAGTGAATGGTCGTGAACCTTTCACAAACGCAATCGGATAAGTTATGCATTAAATAGATATAATGATGTGCTAAAACAAAAAAAAGCATAACTTGTTGAAATATCTATATGACAGGAACAGGTAGCCAGATATTCAAGCAGGCCGCCAATAATAATAAAAATTCATACAGAGTAAATAAGTGTTGTATTCTGAACTGAACAGGCAGGGTTAGGCGAGATGCTATAGTGAGGACCTATAAAGACTCAGAGTTTGCTCAAATCTGCTACTGCTGGTTGACGTGTCATGTGTTAAGCGCAGGGCCATGGTCATAGAAGTGGGTATTCTGATTGAAGATTTTGTCACGTGATGTGTGACGACCCACAGATCTTAACAACTAGTCTAATAAGCTGTAGTTAGTAAAATTAGAATTATGCAGAGTTTGTAGTATTGTAACAGTCGAATTCATGAGTCGATTAAAGCTTGGTGCCGGCTCAGTGGTCTATAGGTTAAGCGTTTGCGTGTGAGACCATTGATCCTGGGTTCGAGTTCCACATGCGGGGTCGTGCATGCGTACTTCTGAGTCCTATATTAGGAAGAAACGACCACACAGTGCTTCTGGGTTTTCAACGGTGATCTAGCTTAAATCGACTCATGAATTCAGCTGTTAAAATAAATAAATATCTGTACATTTATCAACTGCTACTCGTAAGTTACGGAAATAACGAGTAAAATTGTCGACCGTTGTTGCTACATTAACGTGGTGGTCGGGCTTGCCTATCATGATGAAGCAACCGAGCTATACTGGCTGGATCAATTGTTCCTCAAGGTCCTACCATGCCAGACAGGTTGGTTGAAGAACTGTAAGACTGTAAGCAACAAACCCAAAGTCCGAAGGTGAAGTCGTACTGCTGAATGTACAGAGGTGTGACAGCAGTAAGGTGTTTCCTTCAGACAACCAGCGTGACAGCGATGCTGCCTTCTCAGAAGAAGGGGTGGGGTTAGAAAAGGTCGACCCCAAAAATGCACACTTCGCCTTATCTCACGGATATCCGTCTCCGGCAGTAAGGTCTCATCAAGTACTGAGCTAAGACGAAGATTACTCATAGAAAGGTCGTGTGTGACCGACCTCAAGCAGTTGTCCCTTGGGCACTGCTGTTACGCTCTCAGGTCACTATGACCACCTCTAATTCTATTTCCTTTTCGAGTACCTCCAGAAGAACCCTTCGATTGTGTGGGCGTCCGGGAAGTAATAATCGTCATTATTTCTCTAACAGAATTCAAGACCACTGTATTCATAATCAACCCCTTTGTTCAGTTCCTAACAGCAGTCTAGTTTGCTTCGTACATGTTTCAACATTCATTTCTAAGTAGTTATGTGTTGTTTTTTAATTTGATCTCTATGTTGAAATGATTTATACATTTTTTTCTATGGACAAAAATGGGTTAATAATATGCGAATAAAGTTTGGTTAGAGATATCTATATAAATGGAAGTTAATCCACTTTCAAAAAATTAAGCTTTTATTGAATAATGTCGAAATGATATGTTAATAAGGAATAAATTATATTTCCAATTTTATGACATCAGTATTTCATGAAGCTCATTCATTTTGTCTCAAGTTCTTTGCTTTTCAATATCATAGGTTAGTAAATGTTTTTTAGTTGCATGAAACTTTTCAGCAATGAACATCCACAACCTTGCACGCGGGAATGAAATGGAGGATCTTTGGTCTTGCGTTTGAACACTTAGCCTCTAGACCACTGAATCGACATCTAAAAATGTTAATGTTTAACTTCAATCAATTCACGATATTGCGCATTTGATTATAGTTCTTTGTAATTGTTTGAATCTTGACGTTGATATTAGGGACTGCGATTGGTCAGTTTCTTTCTGGCATATTTATCCTGAGCGGATTGCTCTGATATTCACATTAGGTCGTAAGTTGTTTTTTTATTATGAAGAAATATTGATCAGTTAGTAACTGTTTGGATTCAGTAACTCAGTATGTAACCCGGTAAGCATTTGTAGTAATTGCCAATGGATTTAATACCAGGATGTTAGTATACTCTTCTTAAGTGTCTCAATTAAGATGAAACACATGTCCCGATTTCCACTGCTAGCCACTATCCAACCTTCTAAACGCTTGATTATAATCATCATAAATATACTTACATTTAATGAATTAAAAGAACAATTTAGTTAATGGAATATTAAAAAGTAATCTTTGCACAATTTAGTTGGGTCATACAAATATATTTGCCTACTCTAAACAGACATGTACATCGTGAATGAACTCCGACCGTTGCTGCCACCTTGACGTGGTAGTCGGGTTTACCTATCGTGATGAACCAATTGGATTATACTGGCCGGAAAAATCATTCCTCAAGATCCTACCGTGCCAGGCAGGTGTGTTGAGGAGGGGTAAGACTAAAATTAGCAAACCCTAAGGTCTGAGGGGAAGTCGTACAACTCACTGAACAGAGGTATGACGTCAGTAACGTATTTATTTATTTAAAAACATAAACATTGGTACAAGCAGGCACCAAATAGATATGCGCCACATAAATCATTAGATTGGTGTGAAGGCTGGAATACTGCCCGGGTGCTCAAACCGAAGCAGGTGATATCCTTATAAGGCCACACCCCGACTCTTTGACTCAAAGGTCTAATCTGCAAGGCAGTGCAGCAACGTCAGGAGATGCAGTCGCATGGTAGCAGGTGACCAACGATTGGTTCACGCGCCATTTGTTCCTTCAGGGTACTGGAGCTCATGTGCACCATTGTTTAAGAATCAGGGTTTTCCAACTCCCCTAGATGGACTCTCCGTGTCCACCAGTCCGGTTAAAGCTCTGAACATTAAGTTTTCGTCTTCTCAATTTCGTAAACAACATTAATGCCGCGAGAAGGCACTGAGTAGGACTTTCCTAGCAGTGGTTGTATTCACGTGACCATGTGCGAGTATTTCAAGAAACAGATCTGACTGTCTTCATTCTCTGTCGTACTAGTGCATTTAGGAGCGACGACAGTAACATGTTTCCCTTTGACAACCAGCATGACAGTGAAGCTGCCTTCCCACAAGGGAAGTGTGGGTTTAGAAATGATCGCCCCTAAAAATGCACATCTTGCCTTATCCCGTTGATTTCCGCCTTTTGTGTGAAGGTATCAACAACCAGTCCCTTAGACTCTGTGGTCACGCTGTCAGGTCACTAAGACTAACTTTGCCCCATTTTTTTCACGCACCTCTTGATGAACATTTCCAAGGTGTGGGCAGCCGGTTAGTTATAACCACCTTCATACATCTGAAAGCACCCACGTTTTCAATTATTTCATTAATTTCCAAATTCAATAAACTACCTAACGTCTATATTGATCAATTATCTTTTAAACGACAACGAGTCACTCCATCTATTTAACATGAAGTAGTATATAAGACATTATCAAAATTATACCCCAGATATTCTCCCATAAAAAAAACATACAAATAAACAATGTTTCATTTATTCACTTTTCAAATAAAGAATTTATAATTAAAAGTTTCAGTTTAATATAAATTTTCTTATGATTCATTAACTTTTCATGTGTTTATATTGTTGTTATTGTTGCTACTCTCTGATTATTTATTGTACGGTTGTGCTGTTGTTTGGCTTTTTTTTTGTTTTTTTAATTTTTAAATAAATTTCAAGTAAAATTTTTTCAATATCTTGATGTAATTTGAGCTGTTGTTATCGTTGTCGGTGTCGGTTAGTTATTATTTTATATGCATTTATTTGTTTAGTATATATTTAATTGATTTTATAACGTTGCTATGACGCCAAACGGATATATATATATATATATATATTTCGGTTATCGAAATAAATACCGATGTATTATTATCCTTTGTAATACTTATCCACTAAACTTAATTAAAATAGATACTCAAATCTATGACATTTTGAAATTGAAAGTTTTACGATGAATAAGTAAACTGTTCGAATATATATTTAATTTACCAAGTAGTCATACCATCAAATATTTTGGTGTTAGACAGTAGCATGTAGTCGTCAATCACACAGTCGATCTTGATCAAGGTATAGCCTCACACAATGTCTGTTCTTCCATTTCAATATACTACATTAGCACAACCAGATGAATTCGAAAGATGAATAAATAAGGAATCTTACTGATGGTAGCCAGTGACCAACGATTGGTTCATACGCCATTTTTTCTTTCAGGATCCTGGAGCCCATGTGCACCATTGGTTAGGAATCAGGGTTTTCCAACTCCCCTAGGTGAATCCACCATATCTACCAACCCGATTAAAGCGTCGGACGTTCGCTATTCATCCTCTCAATTCTGTAAACAACAGTAATGCCGCGAGAAGGCAGTGAGTAGGAATTTCCTGGCAGTGGTTGTATTCACGTGACCATGTAAGAGCATTTGAAGAGGGTGAGCGGACTCTCCCCACTTTCAGTCGTACCAGGACATTTGAGGGCAGATTTAAAATATTATATAACCGTCTTCTTCGGCATTTTTATATTTAACTATTATACCGGATATTGTTAAACTCTACTAGTTATAACTTTTCACTATTACTCCTAAAATAATTACATCTCGAAACTAATCATTAATAATAAGTATGTGAGTAGTAAAGATCTTCTTCACTGATTTTCAATTTCTGTTATCAATCATTCTTATTGTTCATTATATCATTAGATAGTTTTCATTGTTTTTGATTTTTAAAGTGTATACAAAAAGCGCATATATTTATTACCTTACTATTATTATTATTATGTAGCTAATCAATTTTCTATTGTTCTATTTTTATATAAATGAAAACATTGTGTTTCTCTTTATAGAAAATTTCAATTTATGTTTATCAGTATACTTTATATTGTATCTCTTTATATATAGATAATTTTTCTCCAATTTCTGTGTTTACATATATATATATATATATATATATATATATATATATATATATATATATATATATATATATATATATATGGGGTGTCTATCTTATTGTTGATCCCATATGTAATTATCCTATGACTTTTTATTCAACAGTGAAATTCTATTGTATGTACTCTTAATAAATAAAAAAATGATTGGTTAATAGTTATGATGACCTTGAAATTCGTTGTTTATCTCAGATCCATTTTAAATACAAAAGTTTCACTATATCGACAAAAAAATACCTTTATATAAAGAATGATTACCTTTATCTATTTTACTCCAATCCGTACATTATTACATCTCAATAGAATATTAAGCATAACCTTGATCCGAAGGTCATCGCTACAATTTCTTATTGACCTTCTGAATTTTTTTTTTCGTTTCACTGGTTGGTTGTATCTATTGTTTTAATATAGTTTCATGTTGATTGGTGGTTAATTTTTCTTATTATTTAATATGATTAAATAAAATTTCCCTATTCTTGTCGATCATAAATTTTGAGCAAATGGATCCATTTTTATCTTGTATTTTAATTTAGAAGTCCAAATAGATTTTCTGAAATAACAGTAAACGATGCTGATCGATTACCTAATAATAGTGGTACGGATGATAATAGTTCACCTAAAACTCCTAGAAACTTTGGATCTGATAAGAAACAAATACAATCACAACAACAATTCACAAAAAATTCACAAGTTGTAACAACTGTTTCATCTAAATATAACCCTTATGTTGGTGCATCGTTTCGTGAGAATCGGGACTATATTGGTGTAGTTATTGGACGTGCTGCTGTTACTCCTTCACCTATTACAACTATTGATATGCATCAACATTATCAAAGTATTGAACGAAGACCGTTAAAAGGTAATTCTGTTATATATAAAGTTTTGTTTTGTTCGTTCTTTCTTTTTTTTTTCTTGGTGTTTACAGTTTCCTGTTGTATGTTTCGCTGATTAGTTGAATCAGCCTGGATTATTTCAGCCCAAAATACTTCGATAAAATCGATGTTTTACATAAATGAACACTAATTATAGTTGTGATAAGGAAATGAAATTTACATTCATTTACTGGGTGATTAACCAACTACTTTTTTGGTGAAAATATATTATTTCACTCGAAGCAGTGGATGGTCATCTGTTTAGTCGTACAACTAATGTTAACCATCATTATAACTTCAGCCATAATAATAATAAATGCTTCAGTCGAATTTCGTTCCAAGAAATAAGATCATTTAGTGTGAACAAATAAAACTACATTCAGCGATTGTTCACAGTCATAGCTGATGGATTGTAACTTATAAAATTTTTACCATAATGGTTATTAGGAATATAAAGTTATGATCATTCACTTGATTTACTTTCTGTTTCGAGATGGCAGAGAAGATTCGTGGTTCAGATGAATAATTTCGTTAGCACTCCGTTTTCGACCATGATCAAATTATCCAGTTCAGAGAACAAAACTCAATCGAAACTTTCTATTTTTGTTGTAATCACAGTTGTTATATTTTAGACGATGGTTACAAACCACAATTTATCTATTCTCAATTTGTTTAGAGATTTCGTAACTCTGTATAATTTGAACACGTTAACCATGGGTCAGAGGTTCAGCTATAATTTTTATCGGGACATGTTACCGTTTGTCAAATTTCACCAAGGTATCTAAAGTTCTTCATCTCAAATACAACAATGGTGCCTTTGTGTCCGTTATTCAACTTAATAGTTTTCCTAACTATGAGTAGATTTGAATTAAAATCCACCTGATTGTATAATCTAGTGGATATCTGGACTTATTAACTAAGTGGTTAACGTGATAGGGTTTTTAGCGAACTCTACTGGGTCCGAGTTCGGGAGCAAACATCAATTCTGAGATGAAAGTACATTCAGCTAACGAGGAACCTACATTCTATATTCCACTGCTAGCTATTATCCATACCTACTTAAGGAACACTAAGTAATATTTTTTTGACTCCCATTCACCTTGGCTTTTCCATCCCAGAAATTGTAACCATTATCATTTGTCTCTAAACGATGGGCAAGAATTTAGATCCTAATATATATTATTTATATCTATGTAAATAGAATGAACTGATTTTAAAATATACGGCCTATTCGTGATTATTATAAAAAGTGAAGTTGTTAAAGAACACTTTAACGTTGTTTTTCTCATGTCAAGTAGTTTGTAATTTGTTCTGAAGATAGTTGAAAAATAATTAATAAAAAGCCTCAAGTTACGTTTCGTGGTTCCATAATACTCAATCAGTTCTTGCAACTGTGAATAAAGGTTCTGGTATACAACCAAAGCTTTACATGTTCGTTGTACGTAAATATGTTCTGTTTACCTATTTTGTTTTATCCAAACATTATATATTCTTGTCTTTTTCCATCTGTGTACGTAACTCATTGTGGTGTTTATGCAATCTAAGGATTATGATCTGTCGTTCTTTTCATATTATGACCAGATTTTCTAATCTTTGTAATTTTGATCGATAAATTAGTAATGGGATTAGTTACCATACAAATTGTATAGTTTTGATTTAAACCATTTTTTTCTTGCATTTTAACTGAAAAACGTTCCCCTATTCTTGTTTGTCACTAAATTCTAATCACTGTTCAGTCAGTCAGTTACAACGTAGGACCAGGCACATATTTGCAACGGTCCAAGTTGCCATACCGCATTAGCACAACAAGACGATATGCATTATGATATGCTTGATTAAGAATATAACGTGTAATATCTTAGTCAATTCCGCTTTTCATTACTTACAGAATGAAATGTTCATATTTTTAATTGATAATTCTGTTTTATTGTCACTTTTTCCCGAAAAAAAATCAAATTTTATGTGCTCAGGTCAACACAATATTCAATCTAGTATAGGGAATACAGGAAATGCAATAAATCCTTTAATGTCTACCGAATTATCTACAACGTCATCATCTACATCGTCAACGTCAACAACAACAACAACAACAGTACCAGCTCCATTATCCACTTCTTTCAATATTGTTGGTCGAGGTAAATTGAATATATATTACTGTTATTATATATATTATAGAAGACATTTGTTGAAAGTATAAATTCATTAACTATCGAAAGTTGTGTTTTTTATCACTGTTCATAAGGTCATTGATCTGATGTGAGACCCCTAAGTAAATGCACGTTATCAAGTTAAAATCCAAGACGATCAATGGTTGGTGACGTGAAGTGTTATCGCTCGTAATCGCAAGTGTGTTCAATACCTTAAAATTTCCCCGGATCTCCAATTTGTTCATAAACAACGTCCCAATTTGTCTTTATGGTTGAAGAATGTTCTTGATGTACAATCTTTCTTATTATCAATGCTTCTACATTGTGTTGCTTCCTTTTCTATTAATCTTTTTACATTCCTTTCACGTTGGTAATTAGATAAGATAACGTTGGTCAACACTTATTTGTGTCAGACTTTACGTTGATCATAACTGATTGATTGCCGTTATTAAAATTTAGCCTCATAGCGAAGTCATTTCATCCCTAATTTTGCTACGTTGTACCAATTGTGTCAGGCATATCTGGAAAAAATAAGATAATACAGTTAGTGAATCAGTTATTTGTATTATATTGCTTTCATATTTAAATTGTGGTTGAAATCACGAACCATTCTTAGTCAGACCACTATTAAAAACCTGGAAGTACTGGACAATCGTTTCGTCTAAGTATTGGACACCTCAATCGTGCACATCCACGACTCTGCATGCGGGGATCGAAGCCGGGATCTCCAGTCTCGCGCGCGTACGCCTAATCTCTAGACCATGGAGTTGGCGTCCAATGGTGTCAATACCTAACAATTGTCGATTGCTTCCCAGTTTTCAACAGTGGTCTCACTTAATTTTATCCATGATTTCAATGAAATTCAACAATCTCCACAAGTCCTTGGTGACATTTTAATATTTTAATTGTATCACTAATCGTTAAAAGTTTACATCCAATAATTAATTCGTAACCATGGATACAAACAAGTAGATATTTCTTACTCCTTATGTTTTTGTATACGTCTTAACCTAAAAGAGTCTATCCTTTGTTGATCTAGATACATCCAACCAAAGAGATCTTTGCTGGATCAAAACTGATAAATACAATGATAATCGCTTTATTCAAGGCTATATAAGTGGTTACAGTAGAGAATTATTATTCATCCATTTAAAATATTCCAATAAACTTCACTAAGCATGCAAATTATGATCACTCAAAAAGCATAGCACAAAAGCTTTTTTCAATATGAATTGTAACCAGTACGAGAATTTACTAATCGCATAATAAAAATTTTGATACCAACATTTAAATGTCATAAAGGATGCGTTCCACCTACGTTTGGTACAGGCTTTTTGATTGCAGTTAGTTATAAGCTGTTTTCTTTATGGATGATAAGCCTTGCTAATTGAACGTTCGATATAATGTTCTAACCGCTTCTAATAACATCAAACTGAATCTACACGGCAACTTGAACACAATAGTAAAAGACACAAAGACTGATGATAAGGGTTTATTTGACTCCCAAAATAAATCAAAATAATTTAAAAATACACTACTTTCTATATAATTTGTTGACAATTAGATTAGTTGTCAGATTTGTATAAATTCAACTGAGCTGTATGTGACAATAGTAATTCAATAATTTACTGTATGTAAAGACATATTCACCATATTATACATTTGAGATGGTGAAGAAGGTTTTTAGCTTAGGTGGATAATTTTGATGGAGTTTTTTCTCTGAGCTGGATGATTTGGTCGTGAAGCTTTCATTGTTCTTCTGAAACACATCATCTACCTGAAGTTTGTGCCTATATATATATATATATATATATATATATATATATATATATATGTATATATATATATATTATAACTTGTGCCATGTGTCCTATTCATGTATAACGTAATGATACCGCCAATTATAGAACAGTGATTTATCGACCGGACCAATGACGCGTAAAACTAGTACGAGCTGTCTAGAGTCCTTATCAGTCCTGCTTCCTGCCTAGCCCTGCCTACCTGTTGAATCCAGAACGCCAATCTGAGCCTCTGCGATATGAACCATGTATTTCAAACATACGGGGTATATATACCAACCAGACAGACCACATCGTTCCATAAAATATGAAACAACATTTGTACAATATTTAACCAAATGTGGCTATGAATGAGAGAGGTAGTGATTAATTGACAGGCCATAATTCATGAATGGTAAATCGTATAATAATAGTTCATAAGTCAAAATAAAGCTTATAATAAGAGGAATATGAATATGAATAGTTTAGTTACTTAACAATCATACAATAAAAGATATACATATAGTATTAGTTCAGAAATAGATTCCAACAGTTAACATTCATTATAGTTATCGGAATATAACAATATATCAAATTGTTAGGACTTATTCTAATTATGTTTTATAGTTAGGTTTCTGAAATTCTAGTTATAATAATAACAATAATAGACAAATAAAAAAGAATGATTTGAAACGATTGACATTCATAATCAAAATAGGCGTATCTCAACTTTTAATTGTAACTGGATAAATACACTTTTCATTGTAGAGTAGTTTTTTGAATTTCTAATAATCATAGTTAAATTATTCAGTAAAATAAATTAATCATTGGTATAGGATTTTTTTATTATCAAAAAATGTAATGTATATTGATGGAGTTATGGAGCTACAAATCTTCTTCACCATCTCAATGTACTGTATAGTTTATAGTTAAATCTTCTCCAAGTCTAACATTAATAATTTATATATATATATATATATATATATATATATATATATATATATATATATTTCTCATTTGTAAATCTAATATAGTGAACTATTCCAAACGATTTGAATATTTCATGTTTTATGCCTTTGAATCACATGATTATAATTTATCAACTGTGATAACCTAAAACTAAAGTTAGAGAGTCAAGTAGTTGATTGTACTGAACACTTCACTTATATTGACACAAATCAGTAGAGCGTTTGTCAACTTGTAGTGTAACCGAGATGTTCGTCTCTCAATGAAAGTACATGTGTATAGCGCATAGCAATCCACTTTGTATTACTTTATGGCTTTGAAATATGATTTGTAGAAATGGAGGATATGTTTAGGCTAATAGGTTCTAATCATACATGTATTTGAAGCAATGTTCGTGTGTTGTGGAGAGAGACAATGGGCAATGTTGATGTTGGGCATAGAGTATAAGGTAAACGTGGCTAAGCAGTTGATACAATAACTATGAATATAGATTGATTGAGTTGTGTGTGTGTGTGCCTAATCAGTGTTCACTTTGATTGAGAATGTTCGGTGTTGTAGAAGTAGGTGAGAATCAAGTTAAGAATGACCAAACCAAGACATTTCAACCAATTCATGAAGTCATTGATTATTGGACTGATTTGTGACAATGACAACCAGTGGATGGAGACGTTAGTTGATACGTCTGGAATTCAGCAACCAACCGTAGTTGAGGTTCATTCACTCTTTATCTTGCTACAGATCTTCACTCGAAGCTTTGCTTTACAAATATATATATATATATATATATATATATACCTTTCCAATCTGTTTCTTTGACTGAGTTATATTCTCAAAAATCGATCTTCCTTGTAGTCATTGTTACTACATCACTAAGATTCCTTATTTATTCATCTTTCGAATTCATCTGGTTGTGCTAATGTAGTATATTGAAATGGAAGAACAGACATTGTGTGAGGCTATACCTTGATCAAGATTGACTGTGTGATTGACGACTACAGGCTACTGTCTAACATCAAAATATTTGATAGTATGACTACTTGGTAAATTAAATATATATTTGAACAGTTTACTTATTCATCGTAAAACTTTCAATTTCAAAATGTCGTAGATTTGAGTATCTATTTTAATTAAGTTTAGTGGATAAGTATTACAAAGGATAATAATACATCGGTATTTATTTCGATAACCGAAATATATATATATATCCGTTTGGCGTCATAGCAACGTTATAAAATCAATTAAATATATAGAAAACAATCAAATGCATACGATGTAGTATGTTAACCTGAAACAATGCACATTTGTTCTGAGCTTTGCATCGTTCATCTCTGACTAAAATGAAGCTGCGTATTAACTTTGTTTTATCGATATTTTGACGGTATTACTTAGTGCTATGCTTAATTTGCATATTTTTCTTAAGTGTTTTCATAGAAAACTTTATTTTCGTGTTACTAACAATATCATAATACCATTCTTATTGTATGTTTGAACAAAATCAAAATTTGATGGATAATCTTTCACTTTGAAATGGATTGTTAAGTTTATTTGAATTTTGACTCGAAGTATATTTTAAACGAACTGCTTTCAATGAATAAAAAAACAGATAAAGAATATTCTCCTTTATTTAAGGTATCCTTTTGTATCAGAAGGGGTTTTGTGGAGATTGTAGTAATTTCATTGGTTAAGATCATGAGTCAGTTGAAGCTAGACCACCATTGAAAGCCTGGAAGCACTGGACGGCCGTTTCGTTCTATCGTGGAACTCCTCAGCAGTGCGCGTCCACGACTTCGCCCCCTGCGAGATTCGAACCCAGGACCTACTGGTTTCCCGTGAGCACTTAACCACTAGACCACTGAGCCAGCATCCAACAGTGTTAATGTCTAACTTCAACATATCCACGAAACTGACTCATGATCTCAATCATTGAAATTACTACAATCTAAACTAAAGCCCTTCTGATAAAAATCAACATATGGTCACTAGTGACTGGCTTCAAGATGTATATCCTGAAGTTCTAGTGAGAAGTAGTGACCAGTGGAGTTTAACCAGGTCTGTTGTGAGATAGTAAATCACTGAAGAAAGTGGTGAACGTGTCGCTCAATTTCGTGTATCAGTTGAAGTTATATATTAACACCGTTAGATGCTGGTCAGTTCAGTGATCTGGTTGTTAAGCGCTCGCGCGCGTGATCCGAATCCCGCGATTGAGGTCGTGGATGCGCACTGCTGAGGAGTCCCACAATAGTGCGAAACGGCCGTCTAGTGCTTCCAGGTTTTCCATCGTGGTCTAGCTTCAACTGACTCATGATCTTAACCATTGGAAGTATCCATTTGTATTAGTAAATTAACGATAACAGTTATGGAAAGATTATGGAATAAAGAGTTGGGTGAATATTTTTTTTTTGATACCAAATTCTAGAAAACAAATTTCAAAACACATAGATACATGTTTCTAGAGAATAAAATTTAATGTCAAAGTTGCGTAATACCAACCATAAAAATTGGATAGATTATCGGAGTACAATGAGTAAAGCTTATAAAAGTCTTAACAATTAAACAAAGGAATTTGTTTAAGGATGTTTGTCTAAATTTCAGGTGATAAATAGTGAATGAACTTTCTTTCCACACCTCAGTTCCATTTACAAATACACACAATGTTTTATCTTAAGATACTTTACGTCACACACCATCATATTCACTACAACAAATTCTTACTTTTAACACTGTTAACATGATTGGATGACTTGTGTAAGTTGTACCACTGAAATGTTTTCCAGCTTAGTTAATAAAAGAAATAATGATGAACTCATGTCGATCCTATCTATTTGTCTATGAATTTCGCTGTTAAACATGAACTTTATATTCTTGGTGCATTTTAATAATAACTCTTTTATTGATTTCTAAGTTGTTTAATAAATATATTCGACTATGTTCTTGATAATTAATCTAATGGTTTCAATTTACTCATAGAGTAGTAATTCAAGTTAAGTGATTTCAATATTATTGACTTGACATTTAAACTATCTAATTCAAAGGATCAATATGAATATTTTAAATGAATCTTACTTACTTACGCCTGTTACTCTCAATGCAACGTAGTCCGCCGACCAGCATTCTTCAACCCACTCTGTCCACCGCCTTCCTTTGTAGTTCTGTCCAATTTTTGTTCATTTTTCTCATGTCTGTCTCGATTTGTCGGCTTGATGTGTTCTTTAGTCTGCCTATTTTTCTTTTGGCCTTGAGGACTCCATGTGATGGCCTGCCTTGTGACTCAGTTGGGTGCTTTCCTCAATGTATGTCCTATTCACTTCCAGCGTTTCTTCCTGATTTCTTCCTACACTGGGATCTGGTTTGTTCTCTCCCGCAGTAGTAGGTTGTTGCTGATAATGTCTGTTCAACAGACTTGAAGTATTTTGCGTAGAAAATTGTTAGTAAACACTTCTGGATGATGGCTTTCTTAGTTCTCCACGTTTTCACACCATACGGTAGAATTGTCTTGACATTTGTATTTAAAATTCTGACTTTGGTGTTGGTTGCCAATTGTTTTGAGTTCCAGATGTTGAATCACTCTATCTTATTTCGAGATCAGTAACATTTCAGGGTGTTACGTAAATCAACAATCACTATACGTGCATGTATTCATTGGTGATCATTGATAATTAGTTCTAGAGCAGAAAAACACTTGTGTATATTCTACAAAATGGAACATACTTAAAATTTATTTCATTATTATTATTAAATTATATTAATTATCCATTAAATGTTATGTTTATATGGCCGATTAATTATATATCGCGTGATATGATTGCCAATTAGGCACCGACTTATACGACTGAACTTATGATGCATAAACCTATTTTCCGTTTGGATATAACAATGTATGATGGATATATGGCATACATAAAATTTCATTGTATTGCAACAAGGCAATTGTAATATAATTTTAGTTAAATAGTTCATTACAAATAGGTTGATCTTTTTTTGTTTTGTTTTTTGGTCATGGTAAAATTAAATGGTTAAATGTACTTTTCTGAATATATCTTCATTATTAATTTTCTATGTTGAGTTTAGTTTATTAGTTTGGTAAACTATTCAGATTTGATGTAAAAGCTACATTCATTATAAATTAGATGAAATAAGATGGAATATAATAGAGTAATGTAAAACTATCATTTCCAAATATCTTCTTTTGTATTGGTCTATCCTCGTAGGTTTTAAAGAGGAGAATATAAAAAAGAAGTAACCTAATTTCCTTATATTTCTCTCTCTTACATATCACTGTAAATGGTTTTATAGTGATGAATTGTAAATTTGTAATAATTTAATTTTATGAAATCATCAACTCAGTTAGTCATCTACAACGTAGGACCAGGCACATATATGCATCGGTACAAGTTACCATATCTCACTAGCACAACAAGATGAACATCAAATTCATAGAAGCCGTTACTTTAATAGTAGTAATATATGAAAAAAAGATTGCATATAATGACATAGTACAGGAATCAAGAATTGGTAGAAAGAAAGGAATTATGTAATTTTAATCTCATAGTTGGTGTCTAACGAAATCTCTGCACGGATTCACAAAGCTCATTTGGCTATTAGTATCCGACCATAGATGCTTTAGAAATATTACTGACATCTGCTGGGATCATCGGGTAAGTAATAGTGAAGTTAGACGCAGGGTACTAAAGAATAATGGTAAATAAGCCGATGAGGTTGTGAATCTTCATCGACTAAGATGGTTGGGCCACGTGTTACGTATGCCTGAACACCGATTACCACGACGAGAAATGCTGACTAGTGTTGGAGACGGTTGCAAGAATGTTAGGGGTGGTCAAACCAAAATATGTAATCAGTGCTTTAGGTCATTAACTTCTAGTCTGAGCCATATTGGTAGATGCAGACTATTTGGTTGGGATCCGCACAACTATCGTAACCAATCGTTGGAAACTATGTGACATTGCTCAGAATCAATCAAAATCGCGTAGGTGTATATACTTTTTGTTTTCCTTTAGACTATGAGATTAAAATTACCTAATACCTTTCTTTCTACCAACTAATTCTTCATTCCTGTACTATGTCATTATATTCAATCATTCTTTTATATATTACTACTAACGGCTTCTATGAATTTGGTGTTCATCTTTTTGTGTAAATGAGGTGTGGCAACTTGTACCGATGCATATATATGCCTACGTTTTCCTACTTTGTAGCTGACTGACTGAATAATACTTTCTAAAATGTATAGTTACCATTTTTCAAGGATGAATTCAAATAACTCATCTTTTCTTCTTTTTCTTAAATATTTCAAGTTGAATTATTTCATCTTTAATCTTATTTTATCTTATTTTTTCCGGTATATAATTAAAAATAGACTTCTTTCTTTCATCTAGGGTAAAACTATTCCTGTTCAATATGCTTGAAACTGATTAAAATTATTTGTCAAGTGTCATATAGTTCATAAAAATATCTGCGAAACAAATCATATAATAAACCGTTTTTAAGACCATCTGAAACTTCTCAGAAATATAAGTGTTTATTTGTTTAGAATATTTTACATCTCATACATTTTCTTGTATGTAAACTAGAGATTCAATTTAAGTATGCGAACATTAGTATGGTTGAAGTATGAGTTCATTTTTTTCCTTTAGTGGTTTTCATGGAGATTTTGTATTATTTTCATCATTAAAAACTAAAGATTACTGACAGAGGTTTATTTACTTATTTTAATTATACGTTAATAGTACTTATTTATGACTGCTCACTAGATTGAATTATAGATATTCAGATCTTTCAATAGAAACTATATCATATGATCACTGAGTTTATATTTGGATCATTTGAACTTATTTATTATGCTTACTTATTTCAGGTTTATTTGATCAACCAGTGATAGTAACAAGTGGGAAATCAAACTCTATACTCTCATCATCACAATCATTAAATAAATTATCAATAAATACAAATATCAATTCTACTGGAAGACAAACACCAGCCAATTCTAAACATAATGAATATAATCAACTAGAACATAGTATTCATCATTTATCTAAAGATAATGAACTTGAAGGTTCCAATATCCTACTTGGTATCGGTTTAAATGATACATCAAATGTTACATCTGCTAATTCCGCTCCAAATGTATGTGATATTGATTTAAAAGGAGGAACACAAGAGGTTTGTGCTTTTATTTATAATTATATATCTGGACGTTTTTCAGTTTTGTGCACATGTAACAGACTAAGAATATGTTTGATTGATTATTGTTCTTTATAATGTGTGATATGCAAGTTTTTCTGATTTTCTATTGTGATCATTTCAGCCGAATGATTTAATCGAATTCTTCGAAACTTAAAATTATATATAATGTAGAGATATAAAGTGGTGGTTGGAGGTTGTCTACAAGAAATCATGGATCTAGGTTTCATGCTATTTGACACTCGTCACCAAGGTGCACCTATAATCTTGAGGGAAAGGGTGCCCTCCCCCACAGGTGATTTCGATCCCGTGCCGACCAACTTTAAAACTGATCTATCCGGACTACGAACGAGCTACTGTAAGACAAAGACATATTTACAATAATCGATCATTTAGCAGTGTACGACGTTGCATATGTTAAATCCTTCACAGTGCTGACCGAATTCTAGTCATTTAAATGGTCATATATTCATACAGTTTAAGTAATTGTTATCATATAGACTAATGGCCTCATTAAAACTTGATAGATGGAATTTACTCTGTACGAAAAAAGACTGGATACACATTGCATATTGGTAAGCAATATAAGTGATCAATCGATTGCCAGTAAATGTTTAGTATCATTAATCTCGCTATCTCACGATGTAATCACAAGTTTATTAATAATTCATAAATGTCTGTGGATTTATGATAAAATTATTAAAGCTATTTTATAGCCGATAAAGATTAATTCGTTGTATCATTACGACCCGATGATGTTTGATTCATTTGAAATGAAGTCTACCTGTTTATGCTTTTCTAGAGACAATTTTTCCCTGTTTCGAGTTAATATTATTATGATTATTAAGATTAGGGTTATAAGCCTAATGTGATCTGAGATTCTGCTTACAAAAAGAAAACACACTTAGAATCTTCGGAGTAATTATTTTCTAATGTTTTCGTACATTTTTACATTTTAAACATTGAAAGCTTTTATATCAGGCTGATGCGATTCTATTTCTATTCGATATATTTTAATTGTTTATGTAGAATACTAATCTTAGTTAAACAACTAGTAAAAATAAAGAGGACTGAAAAGCTGTCTCGTTCCAACGTAAGACTCATCAGGAGTTTACACCCAGTTATTTTTGATTGATCTTACGATGCTAATTACTGATTCTATCTTGAAACGGAACCCTAATTACTATTTCAATAAAGCTTAAGATATCTTACTGATTGAGACACCACTTTCAAAGATACTATGAAACGACTGAAGAATTACTATCATTTAGTCGCTTGTTCTTTTATTCTTCTATACATGGTATTTAAACTGATTGACTTTAGTTTATATGTCAATCTTCATCCTAATTTCCGTCTATTAACTTGAGTATTTCAATGTCAAACAACTGTTATGGTTAATTTAACTTTTAATAAAAGTTAATGCAACTAACCCAAATCACCTTCTCCTTCTCTGTAGCAATATGTCAAAATGATTCATACAAAAAATAACAAGGTATTTTTCTGTTTCATTTAGTAGTCAATGATTAACTGAATAGTTTGAAGATTTCCCTGAAAGCGAATACTGTCATTTTTACGTATTTGTATATCGTTTTGTCTAATGACTAAATCAAAACTTCTTAGAAGTTAATTTGACTTCATTTAGAAAACCATCAAAATGAAAACATCTGTGAATGCTTTTTTACTTTTATTCAATCCATTAACTGGTATCAGTCCTATTCTAAGTGAGTAATTTCCTCAACGAACTTTGTATCCTATTAATTGAGAGCATCTATCTACAATATATTACTCAATATTGTACCAGTCACTCAAACGCGACATAGAACTTAGCACATGTATATACTGGTTCAAGTCAGTGTACTACATTTACAAACAGTGAGATAGAATTGTTAGAGCGGATTCCATAACAATAGAGATACTAATAATATTCATGGTAAAAGAAAAGCCGTATTATATCACACATTCGTTAATTTTTAATACATTAACCTTCAGTAGTGATTGATTATTTTACTTTTTTCTTGAATTAGTTAAGTTTTTACTTACAGGGTGTGAACCCATGTCTAGTTATTTTTGATTGATCTTATGGCGCTAATTACTGACTTCATCTTGAAATGGAACTCTAATTATATAAGAATTGAACTATACGATTGTTTGTAATCCTGGTTGAATCTGGATCATATAGTAAACATCAGCAGTGAGATGTAGGTACATTCAACTAATGATTCCCATATTAAGATATAACGCGCTTCCAGTATATCCCCTTTATAGCAACAATCCATCTATTCTGTATAAAGAATGTTGAATATATTGTTATTAGTTCTATTTTTCTTATCTATTTCTTTTTTTCCACTTTATGATTATTCGTATTATTTTAGGCATGTGTATCTCATAGTTTTCGACAAAGAATATTACAGAAGAAATCAAAAAAATTACAAAAGCTACGTGATAATTCTACACTGGTATGTTCTAAATTGATTTTCTAGCCATTACTTGGTTTATTTATTCTTTGTACATTGATTACAATTGTGTTGTATGTTGATCCAAGATCTATATGCTTCAATAACTTTGTTTTGATGGTTTGCACCTTGTTTTTTTATTCGATTGTTCACCCTAGTAGAAAGAAGACTCAAGTGTTTATTCAGTATTTTATAACTTTTTTTCGACCATCAATATTAATTAATTGAGAAAACAAATACAGTTTCTGTTATTATTTGACGTTCTACAGTGAATAGATTATGTTTTGTACACAAGTGTATTGTCGATTAGGGGTTTTAAAGCTTAGCACTTAGTTCACATTAACACTACAGAAAATACATTAGTTTTCTAGTATTTAAATCAGTATTACTTAACTTCAGAGTTGGAGATTTGTATCGTCCTTGGTTTATCTGCCCATTAATATACAAGTCTTTGACACAATAGGCTATCTGATTCAACTTTAAGGCTAGGAATGCATGAGTCCGAACTGAGACTAACGACCTTGAGCAGAGACAAACTATTCTATCACCTAATTGATTTGGCAAGCAAGAGAACGAGCGAGAAGATGAGTCAAACGAAACTCTGCTCGATTTATTCCTGATTCAGAATAATATGAAGAGAGATATGATCAAATAGATGACTAACACGGTCAAAACGCCCAAATAATCTTTAAAAAAATACAACTATGTCCTAACAACAAAGCGCTGGGATAAAAAAAGAATTAAAAACGGTCTCGTTTAAATTATAATAGCTTTTGAATAGGAAAAATATGGGTATTTTACAAATTTTGAATTCATTAAAATAATGTTCTTAAATATTGCTTTGGTTGTTCGTCACAGATTCCTTATTTCTTTATTCACATCAAGATTTTATCATTTAACACCGTCAGTTAACAACTGGATTCTAGGTTTTACTTTGAATGGTATCATTTCGAACTACATACTGTATATTGGTCGTGGAATAATTCACTTATCAAATTAAACTCCTTAAGCTTTCAATTTCAGTTTAGTTATAGTTTTCATTACTAATCAATATTAGTTGTTTCGTTTTTCATCTTTTTCCAGAATTAGTAATTTTGTATACCTGTGTTAAATCTATTATGAAATTTATAATTGAAGATTTCACAACAAAGATTGTTAGATCTATTAATGTGAGATGAATTATTTGGTATTTCTAGGTGGACAGTAATATTTATAAGTGCTGTTTATCAATAAGTGATACCAGTTACGGTACCACTGAGAACCAGCGAATATCTGATATAATTTTGACTTAATTCGGTATTATTCATCTGTACGTTTCTATGACTCTCTTTACTGAACAATCCAAGATTTTTAGGTCATGTAACGAGTCTGCAACTTTTAAATAACTGAGCTGAAATCCAATGGTTTATATTTCTGATTTCAATCAATTCTCAATACTGTGCAACGTTCATTCAATCTTTTCGATGACAAAAAATTCACTTCACACATGATTAAACTCTAGAGTAGATTGAAAGAATTGTATAATTCTCTGTGGTTTTAAATGATACCCAGATTGATGTCGATCTGTCAGGAAACTCATCTGTAATATAGAGTATCTACATAAATATAAACTTTATGAATTAACGATTGTTAATAAAATAATTTTGTCAGCTGAGTTTTTTAAGTGTTTCTGTTTATCCTTGGATCAATTTGTTCCACAATCAAACATACAGGATTAAACTGTTGAATTCATATAGGTAATGATCATCTAATTGTTAATTAGGTCAACTGATGGTTAGAGACCCTGAATGACATAGCTCAAAATCTTTTGCAACCTGATAAGTATTTATTGTGAAGAGAATTTTTCGTTTGTTGTAATTCAATATTCTAACTAATAGTTATTATGATTATAATTAGCTTAGTGTATAATGTATTGTTTAAAGCCTAGGTCGTAGTTACAGTTATCTCATTATATAGTTTCTTCTCCTTTCTCTTATAACTTTGTAGAATTCGATTTTGAATTCGTCTATCTCTAAACTTTTCACCAATTTAATTATGGAATTTTACCAAGATATCAGAATTGTGAATGTTTGTTTTTAGCAAATGAAATGAAGATTTACAACTATTTTTTTTTGAAGGCGATCTCGCTAGCTAATACATTTCAATTACTAAATAATATCTTCTATTCAATTTTTTATATTTATTTATTTGAACACATAGATATTGGTACAATGAGGCACTAGATACATATGCGCCACACAAATCTCATTTGATTTGTGTGAGGGTTGGGTTACTGCCCAGTTGCCCAAACTGAAGCAGGTGGTTTTCTTAAGGGACCACACCCGGAGCCTTCGACCTAAAGTTCTGATCCACAAGGCAGTGGACCATCGTAAGTAAATGCAGTTCCATGGTAACCGGTGACCAACGATTGGTTCATACATCATTTGTTCCCTCAGGATACTGGGGCTCATGTGCACCACTGGTTTAGAATCAGGGTTTTCCAACTCCTGTAGGTGGACTCTCCGTGTCCAACAATCCGGTTAAAACGTCCTATCAATTTCGTAATCAACACCCTCGCCTCGAGAACGCAGTGAGTAGGACTTTCCTGGCAGTGATTATATTCACGTGGCCATTTCGAGAGGGAGAGTTAACTGTCCTCACTCTCGGCTGTACGAGGGCATTCGGGGGCCTTCTATTCAATAACGTATATAATACTATTTTCAAGTCTTCTATATAAAATGATTTGTTAATCAGAATTTAAATTGACCAAAATAAAAAAAAAACGTTTAGTGATGAAGTGAAAAGAATTCACTTATTTGATATCGGCTGTCAAATGTCATTGTTTTATACTTAAATCTCTTTTTTTTATTTTTCTCTTGGAGACGAGATTAGTTATCAATTGTTTTTCTCTATAGAACAATTTAATATTCATAGAACTATTGTCATTAGAAATTTGTCATTTAAACATTTATTCATTCATAATTAACAGGCTAGTAAACATATAGCTAAGGTATATGATTATGTATTGTATATTATAAGTATTAAGTTATGGCTACAAAAGTATACCATTTTATAGATTATCTTAGTTAAAAAGAATCATTAGTTAATAAATTGTTATCCTATATTATGTACTGATTTAGTTCTTAATTTGAAATGTAAATTTTAATTTTAAAAAATATTTGTATACTGTAATATGCTTATTTTATTCTTATTGAAATCTTAATGATAGCCCATTTAAAATGAACTAAGTTTGTGGATTAATTCGACATAATATATTGTCAGTTTAGGGGTTGTGGAGATGGTCACGTTTTTGATTGAGATCATGAACCGGTTGATGTTAGATCACCATTGTTCTTTAGCGACTATTTGTCTATGAAACTTGAAAGAATCCAATTTAATTATAATTATCAGAATAGAGTTGTGGAGATTGTTGAGTTTTAAGTGAGCTTATAAATTGGTTGAAGTTAGACATTAACACCGTTGGTTGCTAACTCAGTGGTCTTGATGTTAATTGTTCACACGCGAGACCGAAGTTCTGGGTTTGTGACGTGCATGAATGATCGCAGGTGCGCACTACTGAGGAGTTACATAGTAGGACAAAACTACGTTGCAGTGCTTCCGGATTTTCAATGGTGGTCTAACATTGATCTATACATGATTTCAATTAGTTATAATCATACTAATTATCCTGATACTCATTAACTTTTCACTGTTTCCTACCTGATACAACTACACTTGAGCCTATTCAGTTGTACGGCAGATTTCCAAATAACTATAAATTATCTAATGATTAATTACCTAGACACTTATTTTTTAGAGTTAGCTAAGAGTCTCATAGTCTAATAATCAGATTGAAACGTAAATGATCAGTATAAATCAGTCAACTATTAATGAGTAGACAAACAAATTACAACAGTAAACAAATCAGTATGCAAATTCTTATTGCTTGTCATTTTTAATGGTTATCTTAGGTGAAAATCTTACAACTATATCAATATAATGCTGTCCACCAGTTTTGTTTTCTTCAGTTAATCATGTGTATAGAATGTTTTACAACGAAAGAAAACACACTAATCTGCTTATGAGTTTTTTAATTTAACCTATTAAGTTATACGTAACGTTTCTTTTCTGATATTTATTTATCGTTTTTTTCTTTTATTTTACTAGTCGAAACAAGCATCAAATACCTCTTTATCTAGTGTACAACCATCAGAGAATAATTTGGACCAAGTAAATTCCGATACAATTGATAATACTACTGTAAATCTAGACAATGATAAATCCTGTAAGTGAATATTTTAGTTCTCTTTGTTTTTCAAGAAATTACTTTGTTTTTTTTCTATTGATAGGCTGGAGAATTTCATCGTTAGGCTTGTTTAAGACTATGCAAAGATGGATATTGGCTAGCAGTGGAATCCAGGACGGGCATTTCGTCCTATCTGGGACTCATCAGCTGGATGCACCTGCATCTCAGAATTGATGTTCACTCTGGGACTCGAACCCGATACCGTTCGCTTCAAACGCCATCGCGTTATCTACTTAGCTACTGAGTCCAGATAGCCACCTGCTTGTGCAATGGGGTGAAGTTTTAATTCATTTGGTGTTGTTTAAGTGTAGATTATTGAAAATGTGGAAAATGTATTTAATAAAATGTACTTTTGCTAAGTGTTACACTATGTCCTTAATCTAACGTTTAACAAGCATGAAAGTGGTAATTTTAGAAACATCTCTCTACTATTTTACTTAGTTACAGAATATGGAGTCATTTTTTTCATTTTGTTGCAATTCTCAGAGCCGTTATGGTAAGCTGCCCTGAATAGCAGCGTCAATCAATTGACTTTGTTGTCAACAACTTAGTCTACGGTAGATTGTTGTATACTGTTGCAAACTGTGACTATCTAAAAAAATAATCACTTAAGTAGGAAATAACAACTAAACAACATTAGAGTTGATTGTCACAAAGCTTTTTGTTGTGATGGTCGGTGTTCGAAATCCGATAATGATACACGGTGTGCTAAGCACTAATCCTCCGTCTGACAATTTGAACGAGAACACAAGGGTGAGTTAGAAAGTGTATTAGGCTACCGCATAAAATGCACATATATATACCACTCTAATCTTAAGAAAATTTATCCACTTCTTCGCTGATCAAATACACTTGTCCTTTAGGTTACTTCTGATCGTCATCGATTGACGTTTTCATTAGGCCGCTTCTGATTGGCTTTCCTCATCACTTTTGGCAAAAACGATTACGTTATACTTGGTAATAAATAAAACCAAAATAACATACAAGACATGGCTAGTTACTATCTACAGTAGAGTTGATTTTAAGTTGTCCAACCAGGGTAATAACTAAATATGCAATTAATTACAAATTACTTCAATGTTCATCAGATCTGTATTGTCAGATGTAGACTATCAAGTTTGTGTTTGCGTAATGATGGTTATTAGTGATTATAAAAAATAGGTGACATATCTTATAATAATTCTTAATGTCGTGAATGCATTCATCCTTCGTCTTCCATTAGATCCTGATATTTGAATTCATCTTAGCACTTTGTATACCATAAATTCATTTTCGAGTCATATCATTTAGACCTAATCTTTATTGCTACTATTACTGTTACTAATAATAAAAACCTGGGATTTATCTTGATAACTCCATCTCGTTTTGCTAATGTAGTTTGGCTTTTTTTAAAACTGATCTGTATATTTACCACTTACTACGTTACTTGAAACTAGCTAATTGTTAAATGAAGTGAGGTTATTCCTACTTAATAACAAAAATTATAATTTTGTGATGTATTATTTTTTGTATTGTCGATCGATTACGTAAAGATCATTTCAGCTAGTTTAATGCTTAGTTTAAATGAACCAAAAATGATAATGATTCCTATCCATTTTGGTGACTTTCATCTATCAGAGAATCGTTTTCATGTCAGTGCGTTCATAAATTTCGTTCAAAGGAGGATTTTTTTTTATTATTCTTGGTTTTTGGATCTCGAACAAGCAAGTGAAAATCATTATAATCAATAATGTTTGTCTGATTGTTTCATCATTAAAAGAGTAATCTACTTTAGAAGAATGATTTTTTTTCTGCTTTTTTTTTGAAGATCCAAGTCTGGATTCTAGTGAACATCCTCCAAGTCATTCAACATGGCCACCTCCATCATCTAACAATACTCGTATGAATTATCCTTTAAAACCAGAAGAATCTTCGCCTAAATTAAAATCAGGTAATACACCCACTGGTGTATCTTTATTACCTCCAACTAGACGTCGTCTACCAGCTGAAAATTCCTTATCAAAAGGTTCACGTTCTACTAGTCAAAATTCTGTTAATAATACTATTATTAATCATTCTGAATATTCAAATGTAGATTCAAACGAGTAAGTTACACATAAAAAAATATTTTTCTCTACAGTTTCTATGAATTCCATAACATACTTAGAATTTTACAATTTGGACTGATGTAAATACAGGACAAGTTTAAGATTGCTTATAACTGACTGATTGTATTTCACAGAATTTGTCTGCTCATTTAATAAATAGATTATGCGCATTACTGGCGTTATGTGTATGTTCTTGGATCACTCTTACCTTCAATGTGATAGGGCTAGTGAAACTCCTTAGATAAGTAGAGTAATTAACACTCACAATTACTGAAGCAACATTCTTTGAACTAACGGATTCATTTGATTGGTGTTAATGAAGATATTCGCAAATTGCTATGAGTTGCTTAAGTTTCTGATGAGAATAGTTACATTTCTTGGAAATTAATTTTTGCTTACCGACAGCCAGTAACAATCACTATTTTCATAAAATGCTTGTCAGTAATTCTGACGATACTTTATAAGGAGTTTACAGCTGTTAACGTTTCAGCATAAATCTGTTTTTTTTTCTAATCATTTTTAGTTCTTTCTTTAATTAGTCGACGTGTCCTAACAAATCTTCATCGTACTGTTTAGTAGTATGAATAGGTGTTATAAACTGAAAAATACATATATAGTAGTAATTAATACCTATTATCATGTAATTTAGGTATGACGTTTTTATTTAAACTTACAAACATTGGTACAAATGGACATTATTTCTGTGCTAATGTGGTATGGTAACTCGAACTGATGTACGTACGTACAAAGTTCTACGTTGCTGCTGACTGACTGACAAAAGGTCATCAAAATGCATATGCATCATGAAAAGTAGTTATCATTAAACTTGTTTATGGCCCAGGATATTGCCCGGGTGCCTAAATCGAAGCAGTTGGTTTTCAACAGACTATTCTCCTTGCCTTTGACTTAGAGATCTAATCTACGAGACAGGGAAGCAACTTTAATAAATGCGGTCACACGGTATCCGGTGTTTAAGAATTTGTTCTTACTCCATTTTTCCCTCAGGATTCTGGGGTCTATATGCTTCACTGATTTGGAATTAGGGTTTTTCGACTCTCCAATATTGACACTCTGTACCTACCAGTTCGTTTAATGCATCAGTTATTCCTTTTTCATCCTCTCAATTTCGTAAAAAAACAAAACATCGTCAACGTGAGAAGGTGTTGGGTAAAAATGGGTACGATACGTATAATGTAATAGTTATGTAGTACTGAAAACTCAATCCAAGAGAATTTACCCATTTTCAATTTATTACATGCGTTAATTGAACATTAACATTTTATCTTTTGTAACAAAACAATGATTTTGTATTTATAACTGTAGCGCTTGATGAAGAATTTGTCTGAAATAAATGTTCCCTCTTAAAACTGTTTTTCTTGAATATTCTATGAGGATTTTTGTGTAGTTATGTGCTTGGCAGTAGAAAAACTAAATTATATATTTTATATAAGGGTTGGATATGACTGCTACATTAGGAGTGAACTGTTTATTTTTGTCAACTTCGTTAGTCAATAACTAACTCTTCTAATAACTGAAATGTATCTTCAGTAATTTACATGTTTTCATTTTCCTTGAATAAATTGAGTGAGTTCTTTTTTCATTTATCTGTTTATTCATTGTGGTCTTATTCAAACTTTAGTAACAATGATGATTAAGATCACTTGTAAAGACATCCAATATTTTGTCTTCATGCATGCAATAATATAAATCCCTAGATTCTTTAATCACAACAGTCACGCATGTTTTGTTGTTGGTGATCAAACTTCAGACGTTCCAGGACCTGTACGACTATCAAAAGATTATATTATTTGTATTTGAAAAAAAGACTCTAGGTAAATTGAAACTGTAGCTAATTTGCTTATATATTCGACTTTTAGTCGGTGAGTTAACGTAAACAAGCTTTAGTCTACCCTTTCCATGACTTAACTGTGGCAGTATTATTTTTCACACGAATGTAGATTATATAGTCTTGTTGTGGTTAGTGTGTTGCATCGTAATATGATTCCATAAATAATTTTGTGTATTTTCTGAATGAAATCCTTATCTAGTTTATTTGATCCATCTCGTCAATTGAATTTTTCTCTTAAACTAAACACGAAATATTAAACGGTCGCTTGTCTAATTTATGTAAATTTAAACATCCTGGATGAAGTGTTACGAGTAAGTTTAAGCAGTTGTTAGTCATGCTGTTGCATATAATAAAGTATATATTGATGTAACTATATATTTACAGATAGTTTTGTACCCCAGTTTATACTTACCTGTTTCTTTCCTCATAACTTTTTACATTGTTTTAATTGTTTTCTCATTAGATCAATGAGTTCGAATCTCAATTGTACAGATAATCCAATAACCAGTAGCGATACATCCTTGAAATTAAGTGATTATGATAAAAACCCTCTACCAGATAAACCACAGCTTAATAAAGTTCGTTCAGTAGTTAGTGTTATTGGAACTCCACCTACACTACCTAGTGCTTTAAATTTAATTAATTCAAACGATTGGGAAGATAAAGTGACTGGATTAGAACTATTGGCACAAATCGTTACAGAACAGTCAGTACATTTAGTACAAACTACACAAACTGGTTCTGCTTCAGCTGGTTCTTCTAGACAACCTGCTACAAATATATCCAGTTCAGCGCCAACATTGATACTTACTGCCGAAACACTAAGTCAAGCTGTACAAGCTGTAATAACTGAATGCAGAAATCTACGTTCTCAAGTAATAAACACAATTTCTTATTGATTGAAATAAAGTAAAATATTTCTATCATTTTTAAAACTCAGTTTTCTACAAACGTATTGTGTGTGATTTGAAATTGTCATCTGAATCCCTAATTCTTTTCTACTAATGTTTCCACATTTTGAGTGGAGTATTCTAAAGCCTTGACCATATGGTGATACGCCCGTTGATCTACGAAATCTGAATATCAGACTGTTTTCCTCTCTTTTAATTTCAACACGCTAATTAGAAAATATCAAATGACCAGTAGACTAAATATCACGTAGTTTATGCATGCTGTGTTTGACGCATACACTTGTCAAAAGTGATGCATGAAAATCACTGAATCTGCAGTTTCATTTTGTTATTGATAAGCAAGGATGTTTATTCTGTGAATTTAAGTCTTGTACCACAATAAGGAACCTTCTAACTGCGTAATTCTATTAACTTTGTTACGAAAGGATACAGGTTGAATAAGTTAGGAATACTTTACTAATAATGGTATAGATCTGAATTGTGTAAAAGGTATCTCCATAAATTTCATCACTTCGACGTGGATTTCAGTTAGCATCGAGTTGTTGGAGAAATTTGTGACAATTTCCTGGTTTCACATTTCTTCCCAAGTACTTCTGAGAAACAAGCATTCGCCATCAGATTTGAAGGCCCTTGGTTCTGTTCCCACTAGGTTCATGAGCCCACAATATTGTGCATTTATATTGTATGATAAAACAGTTTTCTAGCGTTCTTTGTCAAAAGTGAAGCAGTGACTCAGTGGTTAAGGTTTTCAAATTTCAGCTAATAAGCCACGGATTCTAACGTCATGTTTCCAGGTTTGGTTTAAACAGCGGCACAGGATCACTACCCCTCACATTTAAGGTGTGACTCGATTCCTAAGTATTCGAATCTGTACTTAGTATGAAGCTAATATTGACAGTTATTTATGCAAGGCGTGTCTCCAGAATTTACGTACAAGTTCAGATCATTTAAATCTATATTTCACATTCAGAGACGATACCACCAAACTGTCTGGGTTGCGATTTACATGCATTAGAACTGACATGTGTACACTTACTGATAATACTGAACATAATATTATTTCTTCCTACATTACGCTCGAATTCATCCGATGAAGCTTGCAGTTTATCCATTAGGTTAAATGACTTGACACGGCAGTATACTTTTTTCTAGTTAAGTTGTTGAAGGGAATCTACAGGAAGCTCTAGACTTTGGTATCGTGCTGCATATTACTCATCTATAATTACTTTCAATTGGGATTGTCTATTATTGTTTTAGTTATATTGTGCAATCTTATTTCATGTCTTCTAATACCTATACATATTTTAACTTTGATATAATACTAATAATACTATTCAGCTAGATATCTGAATATTTCATTATTTTTCTTTGCTTCGCGATAATTTAATGAAAGGTTTCACGTCAAGCTGTACAAACTATGGGTAGTTTATTTCAGGGTTTAAATAGAGCAATGGATCCACATGTCGATGTATGTATACGAGTATTGTTAAGTAAAACTGGTGAAGCGGCTGCTGCTTTCTTACGCGATGAAGTTTCTGTAATTATGGATGAAGTTATTCAACATGCTAGTCCATCGCGTACACTACAAGCCTTGATTCAACATGGTATAGGGTAGGTGTAAATGTTATCTATGTACTTATGTAGTAATATTCTCATCTTATTAATAAAAACAATATAACGATAACATCAAAATGATACGAAAAGGCTTTCTCAACTACACAGAAAGGCGAGTAGCTGAAGCTTTCTATATATTGTTTAATCCTATTGCCTTCAATAGAAAAGAATGTTTCACTATCCACCCCACTTGGACCATCTATTCGAGCTACCATGTCTGATTCTATTCACATCTCACACCATTATTGTACATACAAATTAAACTCTATCCATTGTCTGAAGAATCGGCTTACACTGAGTCACGAGGCATCAAAAAATTTATAAACTTAATTTTTCTGCTCATTCGGATATTATTTTTGTTAATAACAACCTACCAAATGCTCAATTTCTTTGAGATTATCAAGTCAAATCTTGTTAGTGACAACTATTACCATAGTAGTTATTAGATCGTTTAAATAAAACTTTTTAATTAGCTAATTTTCCCATCTTTAGTCACCTTTATCAACGTGTTTTATTTACTAGATGTTTTAAAAAAACAGTCAAGACAAACCTGCGTAGATTTCTAAAAGAAATGTAGCATCACTCTTAAGACCTGCATCATCATGAAATAATCACCTATCTTCATTATATTAGCGTTGATCGAGTTCTACCACTTAAAATATTCAATTCTACTTTTTAGTTAACTTTTAAATTCATCAATTTATTAGGTATTCAGCTTGATTTTTGTACATTTTTACACCTATTGATCTTGTGTATGTGTGTGCACATTAAAGTTTACTGCATTGTTCTATTGACCAACCTAGCTGTTGTTAGTAATCTTTTGGAATAACCAGTATTTTTACTTTGAATGTATGCCCATTGTAATGGCTAGAATTTGATCAACACTATGAAGTATTTAACATGTACGACATTACTTACTGTTCAGTGTTCGACCAATAGTAGTCCTACAGAAGATCACTCTTGGCCCGTATAGCTCACTTGTATTGTTCCGGACTATGAAGCTAGGTGATACCTGCTCAACTCCACTAGGGAGCATTAGTTCCTTTATGATTATAGGTACACCTTAGTGACGAGTGCCAAATAGCACTAAACCTAGGTCCGTAGTTTCCTGTCGACTAACTTCAACCATTACCTTACATTTCAGTGTAATGTAAATGATGATGAGTTACTTAAGTTTGCTGCCAAATTGCAACTTGATCGATAGAAAGTGATCAACACTAGAGGGAACTTGACTACTCAGTGAGTAATTAATTGTAAATAGATTAATAAACTTCCAGTCGATCGTTGATATTTTTATTTATTGTTACTCTCACTGATAATCCCTAAGATTAACGACTGTTAAAACATCTGAACTGTTGGTCAGTCACTTATAGTCATGTTAATAAATATGTATGTAGACCCTCATATCATCTATTCAGTGGATGGTTATAGATCGTTGTGTTGGAACATTGGTTTATATTTAGAATTTATTGAAATGAATATTCTTCGTTTATTTATATTTTAACTTATATTTTCGGCATTTTTAAAATACTATTTATAAATGAAATAAATTCTATTTATATCTCACATTATTTTATATGTATATATGTGTATATTTCTGGCTTAAAGTCATAAAAATCCAGCTGTTCGATTGCAAACAGCATTACTTGTCTCTCGTATCGTTGAAAACTTAAGTAATCATGGACGTATGAATTTATCAAATCGTAACAATGTTAATCGTGGATCTGGTGGCAATAATAATAATAATAATCCTACTGTTGGTCGTTTATCATCATGGGGTTCAACAGGAAATTTGAATTCTGTTTCTTCGGCTACTTTATCTTCATCGAATTCAGTTTTTCTTGGTGGATTTATGGAACGTTTAGTTGGTGCACTTAGTCAATTTCTTACTGATGGAAATCAAGAAACACGGTAAGTTATATGTATAACATATAAATTTCATCTATTTCCAGTTTGCCTTGAACAACTATCTTGAAATAATTGCTTATATGACTTCAAATTATCTAATTTTTCAAATATTTTGTTAACGATGATAGTTCTGTTGTTCAAGGAAGATCTTTGCAAATTTGTCCGATTCTTATTATTTTAATCGACCACTTCACTTATGTTAGAAACCCCACGAACTCTGACAAAATCTCTGCAATAATATAGGCAGTTCGCTTGGCTTTCACTATCTTGAATTATTTATGTTGTAAGCGAGATACCCGTCTATCAACCAAAGGGTATGCATAATAAGCAGGAATCCCTAATGCATTTCTTTGTGGTTGTACAAATTGGTATTTAACAGTAGAGGACATTCATCAGCCATTACTATTTGATCATAGGTGCCTTCAAAACAGTATTTGGGCGAATTGGAATGCCGATATAATTGTTATTAATCATCGATTGATGTGATTAAGACATGTTATCTATGTTTAACTCCAATCCCACCTCGGCAGGTGATGTTGGCTGGTGTAGAAATAGGTTGTAAGAAGCCTAGGAGAGGTCAACCAAAAAAGTAACATCATCGTGTGAAGTCGTTAATCATTAGTTTAACCCATATTGGTAGCTACCTTATTGGGGTTTAAGTGATTATCATGATTAATAATCTGATACGTTAAGTAACATGGATCAGAATCGGTCACAATGATAGATGCTCAATTTTTTACTCTAGTTTTCTTCCGCCTCGATTTTTTGTATTATTTTCTCAGTTCATATTCCTTCTTATTGTCATTGCTGCTACATTATTTCAACCTCTTTTTCTATTTTTCCTGCTAATCTTTTGTCGTCGTGCTACTGCGATATGATAACTTGACCGCACACATAACTATGCCAGGCTGTATGTTATTTATGTCCGACTAATTGCGTTATCTACTTATTCTTACTTGAGTGCATAATTTTAAAGAATTGTGACTTTGTCGTTGTGAAGAATGTAGTTGATAATTAATCACTCCTACTATCGTCTATTAGTTTAACTCACAATCTAGTTGTTACAAGGACTCAGTAGCTAAATGGATAACGCGACAAAGTTTGAAGCGAGTCCTACTAGGTTCAAGTTGCAGAGTGAACATAAACTCTAGGATGCAAGTATATCCGGTTGATGAGCCTCAAACAGGACGAAACACGTATCCTGGATTCCACTCCTATCCACCATCTGTCTATTCTTATAGTGCTTATGACTTAACGCAAATATCGAAGCCGTCCACACAGGCTGCACATATATCAATAAGATATTGCTCATTTGTAGTCTTCAATGTCAATGGTAAGATTCAAATAACCAATACGTAATGAATGAAACTTCACCCGGTTGCACAGGCTAATGGTTATCTGGACTCAGTAGCTAAGTAGAAAACGCGATGACATTTGAAGTAAACTGTACTGGATTTGTGTGAACATCAACTCTGAGATGAACTTTGTTGCTGTGCATAGTTGGTTCCTTTAAAATGCAAACTACTGACTTTTGTTTGATTGTTCTACCTAGATTTTACTTTCATAGATTAATTGTTGACTACCACAGTTTGCTGTTTGAATTATTTTCTAAACTAATACAGAATTATCAGTATGGGGATTTTCTGAGATTATAGTATTTCCAAAGTCGAATTCGCGAGTCGATCTAAGCTAGGCTACCATTGAAAACCTTATGAATTCAAATGTGAAAATACTACAATCTTCACAAATCCGCATACTGTTAATAATCATGTGTTCACTAGTGAGTAGCTTCAAGATGGAACTATTGAAGTTCTAGTGAGTTCAATCCGTGTCGGATGGAGACAGTTATCTGCCTCAGACAAAAGACGAACGGTTGCGCAAGATCATGCATCGATAGAAGTTAGACATTAACACTGTTGGATGCCCGCCCAAAAGTCTAGAAGTTAAACACACGCACGCGAGACCGAAGGTCCTGGGTTCGAGTCTTGCATATGGGATCGTGGAGGCTCACTATGGAGGAATCCCATACTATAATGAAACGATTATCCAGTGCTTCCAGGTTTTCAATGCTGGTCTAGCTCGTGAATTTTACGGTAATAATGCTGACTTGAATAATAATCTCATTTAATTTAAACATTGATGTAAATTGTTTTCGATTATTTTATTCCATTCTGAATGTACATAAAAATTCTTAACTTTAATTCATTAATGGAGTTGCTTATGTTGTATGTAAGCGTGTTTAATAATCTCAATATGAAACGTTTTGTTTTAACTCATTCTATATGTGTTTATATCCTTCTCGAACACGTAACTATGGTTACAAGTGTTGTTGTGTTTTTTTTGTCATTGAAAAACAAAGTAAAAAAAAAAACAATATTCAATGAAACTATTCATGACTTAATGATTCTTAATGGATTATGTATAATGATTTTTTTCTATTAAGATAATAATACAAAACATGAAAATCTTGTATAGGTTGTGAAGAGATGGTGGTTTGGGTCAAATTAAAGATACAACACGAACTCTACTATGATTTCACTGTCAGTTCTTCTACATAATTGTAGAAGTTCAAAATTCTTCTTTAGTTAAATATTATTTTGGGTGTAACTTAACAAGTGCTGTTTATTCATTTGTTTTATGATATCTAGTGTATTTCAATTAGGTAATTTTTAGTGGATTGGATTTAGATTTTGTATATTGAATGCCTTTTTATTTGCTTAATGTATCTGTAATATTATAAAAAAAAGATTTCCGGGGTTGAAGTTTGATATCATGAATAGACTTTGGTTAGACAATTGTTGAAAGAAGCATTGAACTATCACTTTTTCGTAGTATGAGACTTCTGTGCATTGCACATCCAAAGATCCACCTGAAATCGCATTAAGATTACTGATTCAACATCGATTGGTTTACATTTCTAACTTTAGTTAATTGACGATATTGTGCGACCATCACACAATTATCATCAGTGATATTTTTTAACCCTTCATGTTGACTATGGTGTAAAACTTCAAATGGAATAATCCTCATTACACCGTATAACAGTGTATATGTACTTACAATTTACTAACACCAAAGGTGGTTCTCGAAGTTCTAATAACAAACTTTAACCAGTGGGAACGAATGTGAGAGCACAATATTACGAATTGACTGAAATCAGAAATTTTAACTTAATGATATGAAGTTTAGGCGTTCTTCGCGTAATCTAAAAGTCTTACATATCTAATACTTAGGGAGTCTATTTTCCTTTATGAGATGAAAACTCGTGTCACATATTATCATTAACAACAAAGTGATCTTAACTGGACTGCTATTGGAAACCTGTAAGCACTGGACTGCCGTTTCGTAATAGTGTGAGACACCTCGGTTGTGGGAATCCACAACTAATCATCTGGGAAGCAAATCCAAGCTCTTCGGTCTCATGTCTAATCTTTAGGCCGCTGAGCTCTCATACTATGGTCTGTTTTTTTTAGCTCCAATCAGTTCACAATATTGTTTAACCTTCATCCATTACCTGTAGTGGATAACTGTCTCATACCGATGTATTAGTAATAATCATGCGCTCACAAGTGATAAGCATCAAGATACAAACAAGCCGGTTTTGCGACAGTTATATGCTGCTGACAATAGAAGATAATCGTTTATTATCGTGAGATGGTGGGATTCAGAAAAATTGTACCACTTCAGTGGTCTAGAAGTTTAGTGTTTTCTACGAGACCGAACGGCCTGGGTTCGCTTCCTAGATGATTGGTTGTCGGTGCGCACTACTGGGGAGTCTCATACTAGCACTAAACGGCAGTTCAGTGCTTACATGTTTTCAGTAGTTGTTTAGGTTATATCATTTCGTGACAAACTATGAGTATTACCATCAGGCTGAATCCTTTTCTCAGCGCAGTCTTCACTGAACCTCCTCACGTAGTTCTACCAAGCTGTGGAGCAAGCTATCTATTTAATATATCATGTAGTCGAATGGTTACATTTTTCTTCCACACCTGTTCATATGTCAATATCTCCCTTTCCGTGGTATATACACTCTTTGTCTTCCCTTAAACCATGAGATTAAAATTACTTTATACCTTTATAATTCTTTCTTCCTGTACTATCTCCCTATATGCAATCTTCCTTTTATATATTACTGCCATTAGAATAACTAGTTCCGCGGATTCGATCTTCATTTTGTTGTGCTAATGAGGTATGGCAACTTGGATCGATTCATATATGTGCCTGGTCCTACGTTGTAACTGACTGACTAAGTAACTTCCTTGGTATGTTACAACGCATACTTGTATATCTAAAATAAATACTTTTGTTTTATTAAAGTAATATTCAACTACCAGCTTCTTATCATGAATTTATTTGATTTAATTTTTATTTAAAATAGATATTATGGACGCCGTTTATTAAGTACACTGATGCAACATCCTGATTTTGAGAGAACTGCTCAAAGACAATTAACTGGTCAACCTTTTCGAGCTGTAAAAGAAGCGATTGATCAAATTCATCAAAAAGTAAGTTGTTTTCACCAAGATTTGTATGTGCCTGAAGTGAGGTTTTCTTCTTCTAAATAAATATATAATCATAGTTCTGTTCAAGTCAATTGTATCAATTGATCGGAGCTGATGTTTGTTTACCCGAGTACATTGTTTCTGAACTCTTTCATCAATAGATGGCGTATTCTGAATATTATTTTGCAGACAACGGATTATGTAATTACTGTTTACATTTAAACTGATAGTTCATCATGGCTTTATTAACATCCTAAAAGCCCTATACACAAACACCTCAGGCAGAGTGAGGGCATACAACCACCTTTCTCCACTATTCCATTCAAGCAGTGGAGTTAGGCAGGGTTGCCCAATCTCACCATTCCTCTTCAACTTTGCCATCGATGACATTCTGGAAACAGCTCTGACGGATGTAAGTAATGGTGGTGTGAATCTGTTGCCTGGAAAAAGACTTCTCGACCTTGAGTATGCGGATGATTTGTCTTACTGTGCGAGAATGTTCAAGCCATGCAATCCGCACTTAATCAGTTGGCAATCAGTGTCCGTAGGTATAGTATGTGCTTCGCACCTTCGAAGTGCAAAGTTCTTCTACAAGACTGGCAGGATTCCAATCCTGTACTCACTCTGGATGGTGAGCAGATAGAAGTAGTCGAGAAGTTCGTGTATCTAGGTAGCTGCATAAGTGCTGGTGGTGGTGTGAGTGATGAGATCAATGCACGTATAGTGAAAGCCAGAGCGGCTTATGCCAATCTGGGCCATCTTTGGCGCCTTCGTGATGTTAGTCTGGCTGTAAAAGGTCGGATCTACAACGCGACGGTGAGAGCAGTCTTGCTCTATGCTTGTGAAACCTGGCCTTTCCGAGTTGAGGATGTTAGACGACTCTCTGTGTTCGATCATCGTTGTCTCCGAAGGATTGCTGGTATCCAGTGGCAACACCATGTCAGTAATGCAGAGGTTCGGCATCATGTGTTCGGGCACAGAGACGATAATGCAAGTGGTGTCACCATCTTGAAACACCGACTTCGGTGGCTTGGATATGTTCTGCGAGTGTCGTCCCAGAGAATGCCGACTCTGAGACTGGTTGGAAATAGCGGAAAGGTGGTCAGTATATGACATGGTGTCGTGGTATGAAAGAAAGCTGCAAAGGGCTAGCTTCTGTTGATCCTTCACGACTCCCAGGTTGGGGTCCGAGAGACGGTGTAACGCAGTGGCTAGAGACGTTATCAGATATGGCTCAGAATAGAAGCCAGTGGCGATCCTGCTGTAACCTTCTTTTACTTTCTTCATAGAAAGTGGTTGTATCTTCCTTAACTGAAAGATCTCTTCTGATTGTACCTTACCGTATCCCCCACCATTGCTCTCTCTCTCTCTCTTTTTATAATTCCCCACGTTCATTACTTTTTTTTCTCCTTTCTCCTTCTCTTCAAATTATCATTGTTTTGTGTGGCGCATATATATTTGGTGCCCCCCTGTACCAATATTTATGTGTTCAAATAAATAAATAAATAAAATACATTTAAACTATCTAAATGATCGAAAATCTCTTGTGAACGATAAGTGTTCTATTGACGCAGTCATACATTTGTAATACGATCTTGTGTTATCCACAGCGTTTGTGTTTATTCAAAGTTATTCTAATTTCAGTTCGGCGATCAGTTCAAATTTTCATCTTAAATATTATGTATGTGTCCTCAAATTTACAATCTGATTTGCAAAAAAGGTTAAAACGATTCACATGAATATATTAATCCTATATGAAGATTTATGTAAAATACATATGTGTGTGTGAACTACATTTCCTTGAACTGTTACATATTCATGTAAAATTTTGCCTGGTTTATATCACTATGCACTCATATAGCACTATATCCTAGTTTCAATGGTTGATCTGATTGGGATATATTAATATCAATTCTTTCTCAACATCACTTGATGCTGGCATCAAACTAAATTTAGCTGGGGCAAATAAATCATTTCGCCAATGTTTTCTAAAACATTAAGATTGAATGTCATAATCTGAAAGACTTATCCAGCGGTCAAGCTTGATCTCTTTTTAACAAATGAATTTTTCATCGCAACAATTTAATATGAACAGATCTTCAGCTTTTACTATTTTTAAATGTGTCTGTCAGTTGAAATGTGCATTCCATGAAAAGATTTAAACCGTATATATTCATCTATAAAAAAGCAGTTATCAATCTTGCTTTGTTGTAGTGATCTCATTTATCAATGAGTGTTAAGTAGTGTTTTTTTTCATTCATAATACTAATTATCATTTCTTACTCTTTATCTGACCTATACTCAGCTAGTCATTACAAATTTACGTATCACAGAACTATAACATAAGTTTTTTAGTTCATTTTATTTCTGAACACTTCTGTTTCTATGCGTTTAGCTCATTTTCCTTCTAGAATATTCATACATTCAGTTTATAAATATATTTAACATAGAATAACATAATCTGTAGGTATAGAGTTATGGAAATGATTGAGTTTCATTGAAATCTAGATTGAACCATCATTGAAAACCTGGAAGCACTGGACAGCCGTTTCTTCCGAGTATTTTACTCCTCAGTAGTACACATCTACGATTCCGCATGCATCAATAGAACCCAAGACCTCTAGTCTAGTGCGTGAGCACTTAACCTATAGACCACTAAGTTGGTATCCAACTTAAATTGGTTTAAGATTTCTATAAGATTTAAAAATATCAACAACCCGTTTATCTACAGTTATCAATTTTTCCATAGTTATTTTTCTTATTCGTCCTCCTTGATGAGAGCTTCCCGATATTACGATCTTATATATTAAAGTATTTATATCGACATTTTAACAGTCATTACTATCATGTTCAGCTTTTTGAAGCAGCTGAATAGAAACTACAAAATAACACCATTTCAAGTTATTATTGCGCTGTTTATTGTTCCTTGTTTATTATTAACATTATGTGTTGTAAGATAGCACGATATATGTATGTCATTTTAATTTTATTTTCGTCATAAAGTTTTGAAAAAAAACTAACAATAATACTATCATCTTGTTTAAAAACATTATTTCACGTAACCATGGTGTAAATCCTTGGTTTAACTTGTATTATTATTATTTCTTTTTTATTCTGTATTATAGGGCGTTGGAGATTTGCCTCCATCAATGTCGTCTTCAGCTGGTTCTCGTCGTAGGGGGTTTTCACCAGCGACAAGATCTCGTGGACCCAGTGCTGGTGGTCTTGGTTCCAAAGCCTAATATATGTATACTATATCCCTCCCATTTGCATATCCTCTAATTTCTGAATATGTTTTTAACTTTTGGTCATTGCCAGTCTCAACTTTCTTACAAGTCCGCTCATATATACATATATATATACAAAGATTGTTGTATGTCTCTCCCATCTTGTTTTAATTTCAATAATACATAATTCCATCTGGTTTTTTGTTCAACTGTAAATGTCTAGTTTTCTCCCAAGAGTTTTCTTTTTAAATCAAAGGATAAAAAATAGTATAGTGATTTTTATATTCTTGAAGTACACAATGTTGAGTGATTGAAAACCTTTTTCTTACTATATATATATATATATATATATATATATATATATATATATATATATATATATATATATATATATATATATTAAGTAGTAACAGTACAGAGTAGAACAGTAGTGTTATTGTCCTGTGATTTTTTGTGTAGTTCATGTCTTGTATTTTTGTAACACTATTTTATATTCCCCTCCTTTCAACCAAGAAACCAAGAAAAACAGAAAAAAAACATAAACAAACCAGATTGTCACTGTGTAGTGACTAATAATTTGAATTTTGTTTGTTTCCAAGATAGTCTAATTTATTTATTTAGTTTCATTCAACAGGAATATTGATTGATTGCACAATACTTTATTAATATAAAATTTATATTATTTTGTTAAAAGTATAGATTTCTAAGTTGTTACGTAAATGTTTGTAATCTTATGTTAATGATTGAACAATAGTAGATGAACAAAAATGCACATTGTTGCTTACTTCAATTTTTCTTTACTTGATTTTCTTCTTTGATTATTTATACTTTTTACTTAGAATTGTTATTGATAGTGATTTAGTAAATAATAAGGATTTTTTTGTCTTTAATAAATCGCTCATAATAGTTACTATGGATTACGCACAATCTTTCTCATTTGAACACTTTACATGTTAGTATGCACGCACAAGTTTATAACTTTACCTGTCTTATATTCTCTATTAAAATATCATTGTGTTAATAAAAAATGATAACGTTTATTCTATATTATTTCTACTATCTATGATTTCAGTTGTAGATTCACTTCTGTTTATTCGATATATATTTTATTGTTCTTCTTATTTTTTACCGTATCTAATATTAACCTATTAGTTCAATGTTTCAATCCATTATTACATTGAACTGATAATAGTTTGTTTTTAAAAACAAAACATAATAATCATAATAGAATTATTCAAAATGAAAACAAAAGAAAACTTAATTACATTGAATTGCTCACGAATAGAATGTCTTTGATAATTGATTTTTTTTATTTTGCTCATAGTGTCATAATTGTCATTATATTATCTTATATATTGTAATATCATTTGATATTAGGTCAATATTTTATTTTTATTTTTTATTATTATTTTGTTGTTGTTGTTCTTGTTGCCAACAAAACAACAAGAAAAAATGGGGGAGGGGAGTATTTATTGAATTATCCATTTATTTTTATTTCATGTGTTCAGTTATGATTCCATATGTGCCTCGTATAGAATTAGAGATGGTAAACTCAACTACACATATCGATAACGTCTCGCTTTCAACCTCTCCCTCTGTCTCTCTCTCCCACTCACTCTCTCTCTCTCTCTATATATATATATATATATCTTATAAGTTGACAGATGTGATCATAAAATGTATTTGACTCTATCCGTTTATCATAATAACGATTACTATCATTATTATTACTAATATTACAATTATTGAGATAGTGTTTTTTTGTTCAGTAAAAAGTTGTTTTGTTTTTTCTTTTTTCTTTCTTTAAAATGCACAAAAATGATATTGAGTTTTCACCCACAAATTTGTTACTATCTCTCTCTCTCTCTCTTTCTATGTATTTGATTAGATCTTGTGAATATAAACGAATATGATGTATGAATGAATGAATCAATGAATTTAAGCACAAATCACACAGAAAACATATTTTGATCTTTATATATATATATATATATATATATATATATATATATATATATATATTTTAAATAAAAAAAGAGAAGAAAAGAAAAAAGAAAAAAACTTTTAAATAACTATCAGTGTTTGTGTTTGTTTCGTTTTTTTTTTAATGTTTTAATTTTGTTTCTCTTTGAACAATAAAATTGCATTATACAATACAATTTTATATTTAGAAACAATATGGATAAACAACCCATATCAACATGAATGGATCTATCCATCTATATAAATATAAATAAATAAATATATATATATATATATATTTGAAGTTACTTTGCAAACATTTTGTGTTTTGATTTAATTTTTCATAGTGTATGTTTATGCTTGTTTGTGTGGAATAATGTTTATGAATGATATAATTAATTGTTATGAAATGATTAGTGGATTAAATCCTATAACCTTAAGTTGACTTCACTATTGACAATCAATGATTATAATTCATACACATACTGTTGATTATTCTGATTAATAACAACCTTCAAGTTTATAAGTCAATAATTGACCAAGATTACTTACTTACGCCTGTTACTTCTCGTGGAGGAACATAGGCTGCCTATCAGCACTTTCCATCCAACCAATTCTTTTTCATATCTGCTACTATTTCCCGACGTAATATGTTCTTTGGCTATCCTCTTTTACGCTTCCCTTTAGGATTCCAAATTAAGGCTTGTCTTTTGGTGCAGTTTGGTGATTTGCGTAATGTATGTCCTATCCATTTCCAGCGTTCTTTCCTAATTTCCTCTTCAACTGGAAGCTGGTTCGTTCTCTATTGACCAAGATAAATATGCAAAAATATAAAGGATAGGCAAAATTATTTCTTTTCAAAAAGCTAGAATGAATCAATATTAATATTTTAAGGAGTTACTACTACTTTATGTTATCAATAGAAACTACTTTTCCGTTATCCTTGTCTTGTATTCAATTTATTAGTGTTTTGTCACATATGTACTTGTGTAGTGAATAAGAACATAAGTGAGGACAATCAAATGTATTTGAACATAGTGAAATCTTAGAACCATACAATAAATACTTCAATTGCAAAATGTCAATCAATTGTCTCAAACTTGATTGTTCCTTTTGCAAATATCAGTCAGTCGTCTAAGATTTCATTGTTCTTTCGTTTGGCAACCAATCATTCTTTGTTCTCGTTCTCTTTTCTTCGATCTTCTTAACCTTCTATCTCCAGACATTCCAATTTCGATTGATAATAAATACTATTTATATCTGTCGACATTAGTAGCACACACCACATTTGTAACCATACTTGTCCCGTTGTTTTTTTTTGAATATTTAACAGTAGGATTCAAAAGCAATTTCGAAAATATTCAAATGACTTTCCTTTTCCAGCTTATTAATCATAATCTATTCGAAACTAGTTTAATTTCCTTTGGTGCACATATTAATGTATGTAGTAAACAGTAATCTTATTTCGTTCAAATATTTTAAAAGTAGCACTTCTTTCTCAGGTCCTTTCAGTCAGCTTCGCAGTGCTCCTAACGAAATCCTAATTTGGGATGGTATAAATTTTAGAGCATAAAGGTTTGGTATACAAGTACATAGCACTTTTCCTTATAATGGAACCTGTAATGAGATCCGATTAAACTCAGATTTTGATAAACTGCAAACAATTATACACAACTGCTTTACGATTATTTGCAGTCATGTTAAATTTTAAAGTTTGATAACCATGTTATTGTAATATATGATATGATTTTCGAATATTTCTTGCGTTATTTAGTCATTTAAACTGATTTTTTGATTCAGCCTTGTCCTGTGAGTGGAATTCGCAAGAACCGGCAAGTAGAAGTGTGGAATAATAGACCACTGACCAGTAACTAATGTTCTTCTTTGTTTAGGAGTTTACTAATTCATCGAATTAAATAGCTCGTGATTGTAACTCATTGTGTTTAACATTAAGCAATCAACAAGAAGCTCTAGGCCTGTAATTGTACTGAGTACTTTAACATTTATTATTAAGAGAAACTATTACTTCGTGGTTCTTTGTAATACTATCTCAATGAAAACATGTATTCCTCTTGTTAACTGAAAAGTAAAGATTATGAGTAGTTGTCTAAAAGTAAAGTGATTTTTTTATTCCTATCATTACTACAAACATCAATTTTATACCTACTATGTATTCCAAGAATTAGTATTTAGAGATTATTGTATGTTGGGAAACGTGTTGATACATTTTTAGTTGTTAATTAATCAGTAGACTTTCAGTGAAACAAAATGTTTTATTAACTTTATTCAGTTAATTTATTTAGTATTGTCGATTAGAATATCTACTTTACATATATTAATGATTCATTAAAGTTTTGTAATCTAGTCCATGTCTAAGCATAATTAACACTATTCATCAAATACTTTTAATATGAATTTTGAAGTGATTTATCGAAATAAGTAATATTTATTAATGAGTTTATAGGTATGGATACAAAAGTTGAACTTGATAGTTTCAAATAAATTGAGCATTGATTAGAAATTTTAATGTACTCTGAAGAAGTGGCTTATATTAAGTTACGAAATGTTAGAAATACAATTCTTCTTCTCATTGGAATATAACAAGAAATGTATTTCTTATTAATATTTACTAAATAAATATGTACACGTTTCTATTGGTTACGAACTTTAGTAAGTATTGAATTGTCCTGTGGTAAGAACACTTTTTAATAGTCTTATGTAGTAGTTGTTTTTTGATAGTTAAAGTCAGTTGTAGACAAGTCATCAGTTTACTTTAAAGATATATTACGAATAGTACTTCTGAAAGCCCTTAGTTTTTAGGTAAGACTATGCGAAATACCTTAAATAGAGAGTTTTCAGGTTCTAATTAAAACAGCATATAATCAATTTCAGTGTTAGGTTTATTCATTTGATAATAATAATGATAATTATCCTATTTTTAGCTGGTAGAATAAATGCATCAATGGCTAACAGTAAGATTCAAGACACACATTTCATCCTTGTCAACTGATCCCAATTTTCATATTCATATTGAGACTCAAACCTAGTGACTTTTGATGACGTGTCTGAAATAGGACAAAATGGAATTTCTATATCCCATTGATAGTTACAAATACGATTATTCTATATAATCTTTGGAAATTGCTTATTTTGAAGTAATCCACTCAGGATACAAATACTGATTAAAATTTGGTTATTATTATAAACTCTCGGAAAATTAAAACCTTTCGTAATGATATCACACTCCTAATGTTCTTACGTGACATTTTTATTTATTTAAACACTTAAACATAAGTACAAGAAGGCACCAAATAGATATGCGCTACATAAATCAGTCGATTTGTGTGAGGGCTGGGTTACTGCCCGTGTGATCTTACCGAAGTAGGTGGTTTTCTTAGGACGCCACACTCCGACTCTTCGACCTATTGGTCTAATCGACAAGGCAGTGCAGCAACGTCAGGAGATGCAGGCCCATGGTAGTCGGTGACCAACATTAGATTCATACGCCATTTGTCCTTTCAGGATACTGGAGCCAGCCCATATTCACATTGATTTGGAATCAGGGTTTTCCAACTAACCTAGGTGAATGCTCCATATCTACTAACCCGATTAAAGCGTGAAACATTCACTTTTCGTCCTCTCGATTTCGTACACAACATCCCTGTCGTGAGAACGCAGTGATTGTATGCACGTGGCCATGTGAGAGCATTTCAATAAGTAAGGCTGACTCGTCCCACTCTTGGTTGTACCAGGGCATTTGTGTGACATAATAGCTACATGTTCGATCATTATTATCTTAAACATTACCTTGTTGATCCTTTTTCTGATAATATCTTTTATATTCTTTTTACCATTTACAGTCATTTCTAGTGATTTACTACTTAATTCTTACATGAAACTGTTCATTATTATTATTTTTATCAAGATATCCACTGTTTTCTCATATTAACTAATAATAAATATATATTTGGATATTATTCAATTTTAGACAGTAATGTCGTCGTCTAATTTAGAAGCACCTCCATTAATGCGAAAATTATTAATTGGACAATTATTTCATAATACTGATAAATTGCCAATATATAACTCAATTCGACAAATTTGGGAAATGGATTACCTTGACAACAGCACCACCACCAATAATAATAATAGTGTTCTGAAGAAATTATCATGGTGTATGCTTTGGTTACAAGGTAGAATCATTAAAAATTATCAATTACTTAATAGTGATAATAATAATACTAATTTCATATTAGATGATGGTACAGGTGAATTATTAATTATTTATGAATTAGACAAAAATCAATCAGTTAATTATAAAGTAAATATTGGAGATTATGTTGCTGTGATTGGTAAATTAGTTCAACCTAATAAAGATCATAATAATAATGATAAAAAGGAATATTCGAATGATTGGCATATTCTAGCTAAAAGTGTTACACATTTAACTGATCATATTATACAACAAGATAAAAGTGAATTATTTACATCATCGTCATCCTCATCATTTGAATCATCATCACAAAAGATCATGTCAAATTCAGCATATTATGAATTATCTTGGCCTTTAGAAGTTATAGATATGACATATTCTGTATAAAATTGATTATGTTTGTAAATACATTTATTTTTATAATATTAAATAAAGATGTTCATATTGACGAATTTGTTTTATACTTGTTATTTGGTTATCTGTTCAAGTATTCAAAAGTTTCAAGTGATTCATATTTCTTTACAGTTTACTTTAGATTGTTCAATAATTTAATAGTTAAATTCATGAGTCAATTGAAGATAGACCTGGAGGCACTGGATGACTGTTTCATCCTAGTACGGGATTCCTCAGCAGTTCTTATCCACGATCCCGCTCGCGGGATTTGAAATCAGGACTTATTGGTCTCTCGCACGAGCGCTTAACTTCTAGACCACTGAACTACCAGGCATTCAACGGTATTAATATCTAACTCCAATCAATCCATATTCAACAATTACTGTCCAGTGATAACGTAGGATCTTATAAAGTAACATATCACTGTAATTATCTTTAGAAAAGGGTAAAAATTATGATCAAGCAAAAAATTATTGCTTATTTTAAGATGTAATAAAAGGTAATCTTTTACGATGATTCTTAGTTGTCTTTAATTTATGCATTAAGAATTGAGTTGAAAGTTCATACCCATTTTCAGCTATTTTGTTTTAAGCACCTGGATAGCATTGAATCCCTTAACATAAAACATGCTCTAGACTATGCTTCTTGTACATTTTGAATGAAATTTTTATGATCCTTCTTTCCTGAATACCTAAATTTTGATACCTTCATCGATGTTTAAAATTCTGTTTAATTTCACAAAGACTATTGGTATAAGTTATCTGTTTAGAAAGCGAACAGTATGTAAGTTTGTTTCGGTAGTAGTGCATAACTAGTTTGTTCTGTGTAAAACTTAATAGTTAGGCACTTATTTATCAGGAGGGATTTTGTGGAGATTGTAGTAATTTCAATAGTTCAGATTATGAGTCAATGGATGCTAGACCACTATAGAAAACCTGGAAGCACTGAACGGCTGTTTCGTCGTATTGTGGAACTCCTCAGCAGTGCGCATCCACGACTCATGAGCTCAACTATTGAAATTACTACAATCTCCACAAAACCCCTTCTGATACTAATCAACATACGCTCACTAGTGACTTGCTTCAAGATGAATATCCTGGAGTTCTAGTGAGAAGCAGTGACCAGTGGAGTACAACCGGGTCTGTTGTGAGATAGCAACTAACTGATGACAATGGTGGATGTGTCGCTGAATTTCGTGGATTAGTTGAAGTTAGACATTAACACCATTAAATGCCGGTTCAGTGCTCTAGTGGTTAAGCGTTCAAGAGTGAGACCGATAGGTCCTGGGTTGAAATCTCGCGAGGCGGGATCGTAGATATACAGTGCTGAGGAGTTCCACAATAAGACGAAATGGCCGTCCAATGCTTCCAGGTTTTCCATGGTGATCTAGCTTCAATTGACTCATGATCTCAACTATTGAAATTTATTTATCGTATATGAACACATTAATCTCAATATATATTTTGTACTGATCTATATCATTTTGAGGATTCGCATAGCGATAATTGATATTTGTTCATTTTACACTTGTATTATTATTTATACATCAAAAGAGAGTAATTGTAGCACTGAGTAGCAAAGAGTAAAATAATCCAACCCTAGTAATTTCCTTATGTATATAAACTATTATTTCAAATAATAATGTAATTCAGTTGGTTTAATTATTTAACTTTTGATCGTAAATTCCGAGTTTAAAGTTTACTTCTGTCTAATTTTGAAAGGATTATCGACGATAAGTACACAACTTCCCAGGAATTGATTTTATTCTCTAATTGTTATAACTGTCTAATTGAAGATAAGACAATTCACTATATAGATATTACTTACTTACGCCTGTTACTCCCAATGAAGCATAGGCCGCCGACCAGCATTCTCCAACCCACTCAATACTGGGTCTTTCTTTCTAGTTGTATACAATTTTGTTCATTTTTCTAATGTCCGTCTTCATTTCTCGACGTTATGTGTTCTTTGGTCTTCCCCTTCTCCTTTGACCTTGAGTATTCCAAGTGAGGACGTGCCTTGTGACACAGTTGGTTGCTTTCCTCAATGTGTGTCCTATCCACTCCCAGCGCTTCATCCTGATTTCTTCCTCCGCTGGGATCTGATTTGTTCTCTCTCATAGTAGGTTGTTGCTAATAGCGTCCAGCCAACGGATCCGAAGTATTTTGCGTAGACAACTGTTAATAAACACTTATATCTTCTGGATGATGGTTTTCGCAGTTCTCCAACTTTCCGCCCCATACAGTAGGCCGGTGTTAGGCAAGGTTGCTTACTCTCACCCTTTCTCTTTCTCCTGGTGATCGACTGGATCATGAAGAGTGGACAGGTAGGATGCAGCTGGATGATCTAGACTTCGCAGATGATCTGGCTCTTCTATCGCACACGCAACAACAAATGCAGGAGAAGACAACCAGTGTAGCAGCAGCCTCAGCTGCAATAGGTCTCAATATACACAAAGGAAAAGCAAGATTCTTCGATACAATACAGCATGCAACAATCACAATTGACGGCGAAGATTTGGAAGATGTACAAACCTATACATATTTGGGCAGCATCATTGATGAACACGGTGGATCTAACACAGACGTATAACTTTCGACACGAATAAACATCTATTTAATAACTATTGTTTAGAATTATTCTAGAATGTGTCTAACAGAGGACTTGAAAGTTTCCCTATCTTATGTGGAATTATGACATGAATCATGTTATATATCACATATTACCAAAAAAAATTTAAAATATAAGCTAATAGAGATTCCAACTGAATAGTTTGACAAAGATTATACTCATCACATGATATAATTGTCTTCATTTCAATTCTATTTCTAAGGGGAATATAGACTAGGATAAATTAATTATCTAATCTTCCATTATTTTCAATAATTCTCTAACTAATTTAAATTTATCACCTGAGTTACTTCAACAACAGAAAAAAAAATTCATTCAACAATTCATTAAAACAAATATACTAGAACTAACTAATTGAAGAAATACAATAGTATAACGGAAATGATCATAAATTAACAAAACTATAGAAAACCTTTAAAACAATAGAATATATAGTTACAATTCATTATTAATTATTTATATGTGATTAGGTTGCGGAGGGGGGAGTTTCATTTCGTATCGTATGGAATAGAGAACATTGGAAGAAACACAATTAATTATTGATATATATATATATATATATATATATATATATATATATATATATATATATATATATATATATATATATATATAATTGAACATAACTCTGAACTTAATTCATTAGACCAATGGGAAAGTTAAAATTCAGTTACCATAAGAGGGAGGGACTTTTTTTTATTATAAATGTTTAAGTTTATGTAAAGAAATCTTATCGAAAATTTATGACAAGAGATTTTAAGAAATAATTACAAGAAGTGAAGAACTTTTGTTTCATTCTATGTAAAGTCGTCTAAGTTGATTCTTAAACTAGAATATAAAGCTAACTTAGTCTTTCTTATTTTTTGTGTAAATGTCAGATCCTAACAACAACAACAAAAGGAACAAAAAACATCAACTCCATCGAAATCTCCATAAAGTAATCCTATTTCATGAATGTATATAGATGACCGAATGTAAACATTACTCTTTTTTTTTTTAAATACATTATTATGTACATAGAATACAAGGTGAACAATGTATCAATCCACTTCATATTTAATTGATGTGCATAGTATATCTTCTAGGTTTGAAGCGGTTACGAGTTCACTTAAACTGCGAACGGAACAAAGACTCGGTGACCAAAAACCAATAAGCTAGCTATTCGATGCGTCCCAGCCCCGCTAACAAGAGAAAAAAGTCCAAACTTGGAATGAGGAAGTATATTCCGCAAACAGCCAGAAACAAGCGATAACAAAAAACACAAATCAAAACGTATATACACAGCAGAAAACGGTCCTTGATGAGAGTTACGAAATAGCATACTAAAAGGCACAACGGACCAATAGCATTTAGGATTCTCCCAAGTGGGAAATACAACATAAAGGTGAAAAGCGATTGTGGCGCGTAGACAGAAAAATTTAAATTTTCTGAATAAAATTACAAAATTTGGTCCTTTCCCAAGTGAGTTCTGGGGATTTAACTTCCCCAATAATATCGTCAGCTTGTTAGTATGATAACAGGAAAACTTATTTTACTGCTCTTACAGTTTACTAATCTGATCAAAGACGAGATTATAACGTTTTTGTTCTAAAGAGTGATTAATGTCTATGATTCATTCTAATTAAAATATCAGATTAAGATCAAATAACTTTTTCAGTACTCTTCATATTCAAAATGTGGTGTGTGCTACTTATATCGACATAAGTAGCATATGACGTTAGTCAGGAACAGAAGTTCTGGCAGCAGAGAAACAAGAGGATCTAACAGTAAAGAATGGAAACAGAATGCGATTTGTATGAAAATGCAAGAATGATGAAGTTTGAGTCATTTTGAGACAATTGATGGACATTTTTTGCAAATTGAGCATTTACTATATGGTTGTTAGATTTTATTGACATGTTCTGTAATTGTCTGTTCAATACCACCGTTATAAGTGACCCACACCACCAAGCTACTATTTATTCGTTCAATACATGTAAACATCTTCAGGTGATCTAATGAATAGTTTAATGGTTGTGTAATGCTTGTTAATTTATGTAGGCATTAAAAACATGGACACTGTAATGAGATTGATAGACTTAAATTCGTATCCATCAACATATATTACGTGTAAATTAGTCACATCAAATCATCAGGTTTTGTTATCAGAAAAGATAGAATTGTTATTATTTCAGTAAGCAATTTTTTTATGCCTTTGTTATTGTACTTGTTGTTCACTTCACGGAGTGTGTATATTTATGAATTTTTGTCTCGGTAGTGTCAGTCGTAAGCAAGAGTTCGGGAGGAAGAGGATTGGGCGTGGGGTTAGTAACTCTACCCAGTGAAAAGGACCTCTATCAAGTAATATCAATCAGAAAGAACTAAATCACTTAAACTCTGCACTACATGTTGAAAGTTCCTCGTATAGAAGAGATATGACATCTT